GTTGAATAAAATTCAGAACTTTTAAACTTCATGTAACTTTTTTACATATAATATTTGCTTAACATTGGTCACTTTCTTTTTTCCTCAGTTTTGTCACATCTCCCTTTATTGTTATTGTTACCTTATTTTTACATTAATGTAATGTATTAGTGTGGTATTAGTGTTATGCATTGTTATGTTGTGTGGTGTGAATGATGTCGTCTATTTGGCTGATGAATCACTTCAACTTAGGCAGTTACCTAGGTGAGGTACTGCACTACGGCCACACCATAGCATATTAAAGAATTTTGAAGGTCACTTGGCCTGATGGTCCCATTCTCATACTGAGCAGTGCATTTGTTCAATCAGGAATGTTGTATCAAATGTGATCCCAGTGCAGTGACTAGTGATTTATGATTGCATCCAGGCATGAAGGAGCAATTCAAATTATGACCTAGAGGGAGAGGGGTGGTGGCTCCAGTCATAAATTACTCTAATGCTGAATCAGCATGTGAAGCTGAGATAACAAAGATATTATTAAAAATGATATGAAAGGGAAGCATTATACTATTAGCATGTGTTGCAGTTGTGACTCAATTAGTAATCAATAATGATAGATGAACAGAATAGTCAGAACTCAGAAGTTCAAAAATATCTGTCAGCTGGCCTTGCACAAGAACCCATGTTTGTCATTCTCATATTTCCTTCACTCATATGTATCACTCTAGTTTAATTTTCACCTGTTTCTGGTCATAAACCCTATATAGAAAGTATCAGTATCGTTCATGAATGTAACCCACTGATGCAGGAAATGCATTGCACTAAATAGATGTATAACAAGCAACATTAGGAGCATTGTTTTGGGGCGAAAATTGCATCATGCTGGATGGGACCTGGGGATAAGCATAAAGCATTCATGTACTTATTGTACATGTACTAAGTTGATTTATATACCTTTGACATACTACCTATTTATGTCTTATTTCTTTGCTGGGCATAACCTGAAACACCTTTTCTATTGTTTTAGGAATTCAGCCATGTCTGCACCATTTGTTGACTGTGCTGAGATGGAGGATGACCCAGCAGAGGAGGACCTGGCCGATGCTGGGCCGGCAGAACCGGAGGAGGTGTGGCGCTCCACCGCCGCCGACCCGTCGCCCTCTCACCGGCGCTGCGTGATTCACATCGACATCGACTGCTTCTACGCCCAGGTGGAGATGCTGGAACGGCCGGAGCTGCGCGATAAACCGCTGGGCATCCAGCAGAAGAACATTGTCGTCACCAGCAACTACGCGGCTCGCGCGCGCGGCGTCGGCAAGTGTTGCCTGGTGACGGAGGCGCTGCAGGCCTGTCCTGACCTGGTGCTGGTGAACGGCTCCGACCTGACGCGCTACCGGCGCATGTCCGCCCGCATCCATCGGCTGCTGACGCGCTTCTCGCGGCGCGTCGAGCGACTCGGCTTCGACGAGAACTTCCTGGACGTCACGGAGGCGGCGACTCGCGCGGCGGGCGGTCCGCCGGCCGCGGCGCCGCCCGGACACGCGCTGGGGAGCGCCGACAGCTGCTCGTGCGGGTGCTCGGCGCGGCTGACGGCGGCGGCGAGTCTGGCAGCGGACGTTCGCCGCGCCCTCCGAGAGGAACTCGGCATCACCAGCTGCGCCGGCATCGGCTTCAACAAACTGCTCGCCAAGCTAGCCGGGGCGACACACAAGCCCGACCAGCAGACGGTGCTCTTTTCCGGAGGCGTGAACGACCTGCTGCTGTCTGCCGGCGCCGTACGCGCGCTGCCCGGCGTCGGCTCGCGCACTGCCACCCAGCTGGGCGATCTCGGGGTGCGGACGACGGCCGATCTGCGCCGGGCCACCCCGGCTCAGCTGCGGCCTCTGGGCAGCGCCGCCACGGTCGCCGCTCTGAGGGCTCTGGCGTTCGGTGTGGACCCTGGTGAGGTGAAGCCCTCCTCCGCCGCGCTCAGTATCGGCGTCGAGGACGGGTTCCGGCGGGTGGACAGTGTCGAGGAGTGTGAGGTGAAGCTCCGGGAGCTCGCCCGGCGCGTCATGGTGCTGCTCGGTGAGGACGGGCGTACGCCGACCGTGCTCAAGCTGTCGATCCGCCGCTACAACCGAGAGGACTACGGCAGGTTCAGAGAGAGCCGGCAGACCAAGGTGCCGCCCTCGCTGTTCGCCAGATGGAGGGAGCGCGAGCGGGAGGTGGGCGACAGGCTGCTGGCCGAGGCCATGGTGCTGCTGAAGAAGATGCTGAAGGACGAGCCGTTCCACCTGACGCTGCTCGGACTGGCCGTGACCGGGTTCAGCGAACAGAGCGGCTCGGAGAAGGCCGGCATCGCCAGGTTTGTCCAGAAGGCTGCCTCCTCAGCCACCAAGAGGAAGAGTCTCGATGATGCCACAGGAGATGACGCCCCTCCCGGAGGCGTGGACCCGGCAGTGTGGGAGAGCCTGCCGCCCGATATCAAATCGGAACTCCTACGTGACCAGGAGGTGGGCCCGAGCAAGAAACAAAAGCAGAGGTCTATTGCCAGCTTCTTTGACGGTTCGATCGATTCAAAGAGTGACTCTAAGCTCGCTGCTCTAGATGACAGGTCAGACGGCGCGGCAACGTGCTCTGATAAGGCTGGGGACACTGCAGGTGACGAAGTGACACGGTCAAGGAGCCCTTCCCCCGTGGAGCTACAGGACAGTGACGATGACAGGGGATCAGGCAGTGACCTGGATGACCCCGACAGTGACTCTGATGACCCCGGGTCACCGGTCATCGCGAGGTCGGCGACGACCCGTCGGGAGGCGGAGTTGAAGGTGAATAGTTCCACTACTGAGCGAGAGACTTTGGACGCCGAGCGGGTGAAGACCGCTTCTCCCACCAGAGGTGGTGGGTCGGAAGACCCTGTGAGATCGCGATCAGTTGGAAATTCTTCACCTCATGTAACCTCCAAACGACCCCAGGCGCCGAGCGTTTCTACCCAAGCAAACCCCGCCCATCGTTCACACCCCTCATCGGAGGAGAGAGCTGACAGCGAGGAAACGCCAGCCACCCTACATAGGCGGGTCTCGGCACAGTCCCCGTCATCCTCCACCCCCGGACCCGTACCGGACTCAGCAGCAACTGCAGCTGATCCAGACCCGACCGCTCGGTGTGAGGACCAGACTCCAGGCGGAGGAGGGTCGGGAAGCAGCCCGGAGGACTGGGACCCGGACGTGTTCAGTCAGCTGCCGCCGGACATTCAGTTCGAGCTGAAGATGGCGCGTCGGTCGGCGGGGCGTGGGGCGCCCTCCGGCGATAAGAAGGTCAGTCCCAGGGGACCAACTGCCGCAGGGGCTGCCGCCGGCGCTGGAACCGCCGGGCGAGCCAGGAACGGGTCGATTCTGAAGTTCTTCAAGAAGTGATCGGGCTGTTAGATCTGTGATTTTTAAATCGTGTGTTGTACAGTGGTGTTGTAAGCGTTGACTGTTTTGTTTGCAGGCCAGTGCTTTTTCCAGTTAAATGAAGCCACATCGTGCAATCGATCATGTTTGCATCTTTTGGAAGATGGGGGGATGGGTTTTCCGTGCGCTTAGAGGCTTTCACGAATCCGCGGAACCCGGGTCGGATAAACGAGTGCGTGGCGCTTGGCTCGGAGCGGAACCCGTCTGTCAATGTGCCATGTGAAAGGACTGCTGCCGTTAGAAGCTTGGAAATGTGATACGTTTTTACAATATATGTGTATTTACAATGTATAGGCTATCCGAAGTGCTTTATTGCGAACCCGAGGCATGCTCAAGAACAATGGTCAACCACGTACAAACAGACGGTATTATTTTAACGTTTCTGTATTTATCTCGGTGTATTGCACATGTGACTAGACGTTAGTGGCGATCGCGCATCCGTGCGCCAAAATCACCGTGTAAAGGATATCTGTCTCGATGACTCGTCAGACCAGACTCGCACTATACATCCAACTAGCCGGGGCCGACCTTCCGAGCCAGATGTTCCCACTAATCGTGTCCATTGACGAACCGTTAACCGTCGGCGGGGAGGCCCCTACAATTGGGTCGGCTCGGCTGCCCGTAACGAACTTCACACTCGGCGAGCTCGGTCGCCCCACGAGGTTTCCAGTAGGGGGCTACAGCGCCCAATGAGAGATAACAGTCCGAGGCGAGATACAATGATATACACACACGCACACAAGCCGGCATTACTAACGCGGCGGAACAACGATCATCCAGCGGGCGTGCTTGACGCGGTAACCCGACGACAAATGACGACTGACGCCACGTGGTAGGTTTTAGCGGCCAGCAACTGCCGAGACGTATACCTGTTCTTACTGATCATTTCATGATAACAAGCATGAAAAATGATGGCTTGACAACGCTCATGGTCTCGAATGTCGTCACGTTGATCGGGAGATTCCGGTATGTCCGTACACGCACACATACAGACAAACATTCACTACGAGCATTACGAACCGCATGCCATGACTAGATTGTCGGGGCAGTAAGTAGGTATGTGAACACTAACATTCTTCAGTAGCACGACAATACCAGGTTAAAGAAACTCACAAACTGAAAAGGCACTAGAATCCAGTGACTTCACATATAGATGTACGGTATCTAAATCAAAACTGTAGCTGGTAAAAAGAAATAAAAAGCTCTTACACGGGAACCTAAAAAATCCGGTAAATATGCCTCATAGAGCGAGCCACAAAAACGTACAGGTCTCGCGGGTTTTGGCGGTAGGTTTTGCACCTAGAAAATTTAGTGTACTTCAGGCTATATCTTCGTCGTCTTAAGCTTTTAAGTGTTGAAGATGCGATCGACTTGTTGGGTAACAAGCCGGCCATGATCGTGTAAAATGGCTTCATCGTAGATCGTATCATCGTAGATTCTGAGATATAACCGGAAATGTAAAAGTGCAAAACCTACCGCTTAATCTCGCGAGACCTGTACATACACACAAAGTAAAGCGTTCCCTAAAAATGCACAACTCAGCTGCAAAACGAAAGCACTATGGTGACTAGAGCAGCGGCCCCCTGCCATTCCGATGTGGATACAGTTCGGTAAATGTGTCCCGGTGAGCACTGACTCTGAAACTTTGACTGACTGAGGTAAGTTCAGATCAGAGAAGCCGATACGGACGGGTGAGTATTATGGGTGGGGAGAATACAATCGCCATCAATTTGATAAAATGGTAAACCCACACATACCACACGGTTTACTCCAAACGAGTGGCGCGTGCCTTCCCGGCAGCACTGTCATCAACACCTCGCCTTCTGAACATACAGTCCAAATGTACTAGCGACCTGTCCGACCACCTCGGCCACGTTTTCACTCCCGGCGCCGGGCTGGTCGCCGCTCCCTCTCCTCAGGGACCTCACGCCGGGCCGGACGAACCACCGACAGTCCGAACAGTGTCGCGCCACGCACAGACCCCACCGTCCCCTCCTCTACCGTCTCGCTCCTTCTCGTCCGTCGGTCGGTTCACGACTTCAGCTCCTGGACCCGCCTCCGTCCCGACACGTCTGCCTTGGTGCCGTTGGCAGCCGCGTGGCCGTTCTTCTCCTTGGAGCCCTTCTTCTTGTTCACCGCTGGACGGAGGGAAAACAGACAGGCGAAATGTTAATACAGAATAGTACGATGGACATTTTGAAGCTACATACTTCTTGATATTTGCATTTTGCGTTTCTAGTAACATAACAGAAAAGAGCAATCTTCCGAAATAATGATCCTTTTTTACACTTCAACATGACTGGCAATTCCGCCCCAGTCAGTACGTTTCTCTACAAACAAAATGCATATTCGCCAACGAAATATATCCCTCTGTTATGTCAGTGTGGCTGGGAGCTCACCCTGGGCTGCCTTGCCAACGTCCTCCTCCAGTGAAGCCAGAGACGCCTCAGTCTGAAAACCACGGGGGCCGAACCGTCACCACACCGACAACACCACACTGACCACACAGAAACCGGAGCCGCCCGGCCCCACATAGGGCCTTATTGCTGTCCTAAGAGCAATATGCGCGAGCCGGCACGCCTAAGTCGCACCTGTGCCACTGACTCCATGGTCTAGGTAACTATACCGTGCGTGAGCCGGCCCGTCTAAGTCGTACCTGTGCCAGCGATTCCATGGAGAGTGAGCGCTCCGACGCCAGGCTGTCGGAGGCCACAGAGTCCGTGGAGCCCCACAGGTCCTGTCGGGAGGGAGGACGGGGCGTCACCGGCAGAACTTCAACCACACAGGAAGGAGGATGAAGAAAATCAGAGGTGACGACTGACAGCCCAACAAAGGAAGTGGTAGCGCATAACAATCTCGTCGGCACGTCGAGTGCCGATCACATCGACACTCGATGCGATCGGCACACAATGCGATCGACACTGCGATGCGACACTCGATGCGATCGACACTGCGATCGTCGACACAATCAGTGTCGAAGATCGCATTGACCAACGTGCAATTTGTTGAATGCGTGCAATTTGCAGCTTCTTTGTGCAATGTGCGATCGTTGATGTGATGACCCACCTCCTGATCCTCCGGATCGGCCTCCTCCTGCTCCTGATGCTCTGACTCCTGATCAGAGGGCAGCTTGTAATGACACGACACAAAGGTTTTAAAATATCTGCTGGAGAAAAGATTACCACTGCTTCGCCTGCTTACCTCGTTCCTGTCTATCCATCTGCATTGCATGGGCAAACATTAATAGTTAATCGTTGATTGACTAATTTTGTCGCCGTTTCCCTTTGTAAGTTTTGTAGTACAAAATAGCGTTTTTGTCTTTTGAGAAAAAGTTCAAACAGCTCAAGTAATAAATTGCTCCATCTAAGCTGAAATATTCTTACCTGATCCTCAACTACCTCCTCTCCATCATCAGGCTCGTCCTTGTTAGCAGCATGATGGAAATGTCAATCGTCAAAAGCTGCCGTCGCTAGTTACAGTCGTGACATGTGTCGCAATTATCACGTGAAGTTCACCATTATGTTAGCAGGTAGCTACTGGGCCTCACAATATTCTTGTACTCTGACTTGCCAAACAGCGGCAATTATCCATACCTCACGGATTGCATCAAACACCCACCCAAGCATCCCAAAGAACACGGGGGAGAGCATAACTGGGAACCGTCCAGTCCCCAGTCCAGAAATCCATCACACCACCCAAATTAAACGACTTCATGCCACCGTAGTGTAACGAGTCCGACCGGCTTCACCCTCCGCTCACCCGATCACGATCACGCCCCCGCTGGCATTATATCCCACCTGTTTGATGGCCTTGATGTTGGAGCTGATCTTGGCGACGTTCAGCTTCTCCGAGACGGTGCTCATCTGTTTCATGATGCGCTCCATGGCTCTCTCGGTCTCCTCCAGCCGGCGGCGCAGCTGGTCAATCTCGGCGTCCTCCGCTGAAACCAATACAGAGACGAGAGGGTCACGTTTGGTTCAACGAGAGAGAGAGAGAGGTCAGTAGAGAACAGGGTCATGGTCAGAGGTAGGGGGTAGTGGGACTGAGAGTAACAGCCAAACCATGGTCAGATAATGCTAAGGTCAGATAGTTGAGAGAACACTGCACCTCAGAGTACCAGCCAAATATCTCAATAGGCAATTGTGCGAATAATAGCATCTTTCGCTTGACACTAACAAACGCATGAAAAAGAAATGTAAGCGCGGGAACGGACCAGCAACCGAAATTCGACAGAGAGTTACTGCGGGACATAATATAACCGCTATATAAACACGACCAAATGACCCAGCTCCCCAGTTCCACCTACGTCTGGTCTGCGCCGATGCAGCAGCGGGGACAGAGTTGGCGGCGGGCGCGGCAGCGGCGGTGACGGCGGCCTTCTGTCTGGGCGGCGGCGTCTCGGGCTCGGGCGGCGGCCGGCGCACCACCACGGGGCGGCAGCGGCCGGTCGGCGCGCCGTCCACCGTCGAGCGGCCCGAGCCGGAGTGGTAGCCGTACGAACGGTACTCGGTGGACAGGTGGTAGTCGGGAATGATGGGCTCCTTGCTCTCCGACGGGTCCGGGTTCTTGAACATCACCTGAGACACGGGGAACAGTCAGTCGCTGGACGGAATAAATGATTGATGGAGAGGGAGACAAGACTGAAACAATGGTGCCGAGTAAACATTTCTTAGCTTCAATGTATAATTCAGACAAGCTCTCAAGTAAAAAATGATAATGTTGAGGCAATTTTATATCAGTAGATCGTAGAAAGGCCCACTTCTTCTAGGTCTCAACACAGCTTCACTGTCCCAGCCTGAAGCACATCCCATTAGCCGTAAATAATCACGTAACTACTGTTTCCTCTTTCCACCACTAGATGTCAGCAATGTCGCGCACATGAGCACCGCGGCGGAACGCGCCGGTAAATCTCTGAAAGTCTCCGTTGCCAGATAGCCTTGGCCGTGGCCCGGGGCCTGTCTCCGGCGGCGGCACGGCGCTGTTGCCAGCCTATTTCGGGCGGCCGTCTGCCCGACACCAGACAGAGTGTAGCGGGGCGGCAGAAATGCGGCCGGCCGACTGTCACCGGCCGATCGGGGCTCCGTCCGCGCCCGGTGCAGAGTCGCCGGCACAGCTGAGAGACTTTGAACTCGAGCATCAGCTGTGCGGAGGTGGCCAAGGGTTTTCTTACCCGCTGGGATGAGACTGAGAAGGTATTATCCGAGACTGATAACCGAGGATATGCCGCGGCGGACGAAGCCATATGACATGCGGACGTCATGGAAGCCAAATAATGGCGCGATGTTTCCGCGGGAACTCGATGGAAAGGGCGCGCCAGAACCACACCAGTCCGTGAGTTGGGGTGGAAAGGTCACGCCTGCATTTTTAACATACGCCGCCAGTGGCCGCTCTGGGCAGACACCCGGCCCGCGGAGGCCTCGGCTGGAGCAGCGGCCGACCCCGAAATAGCAGCCAATGCGGGGACGTCCTGTGAGCACTGACGACACGACACCCATAAATCACCGAGATGGGAAAACGGTAATGACGCAACATAACCCCGAATATCTGAGCGAGCCTCTAAAATAACCACCGCACAAAACGCCAACTCTGTGGAGCCTTAAGTTTCACCAAACCACCGGTTCACTCCAACCATCACACCAAATAGTTTAAGAGATAGTTAATAGCTCTGCGATCATCCGCCCACACAAATATCACTATCCAAACAGCATCCGTGCCAAAATACTCTAACCCCATCCCCGAACGCTCAATGACCCCGTAATTAACGGTCGTGTCGTGACTGATGTGAGACAAATCATCACCATGCCCGGGCCGGTCGGGGGCCCTCGGGCTGGTATCGGCGGGGCAGCCTGTATGACCTCTGTTGGGCTCAGGTCGTGGCCGCGGTACGCGCGGAATGTATGCCGCCGCCCCCGGGGGGATCGGCAGGAGCAGACGAGTGCCAGGGTAGACGCTCGCGGCACGTGAGCACGTAACATAACACGGTAGGTAGTGTGTCGGGGTCGGCGGGAATCATAGGCGTCCGACAGGCTTCAGGTTTGTCACGTTAGCACAGCATCGAAAAATGGAAAACTAACTACTGCAATGGCGCATAGTCATTCGCAGCATTAGTGAAACTTCCTCTCGTATTATCATACCTTATGTGCACGTTACAAAATTTCCTTCCTCCCTTACAAAAACGTGCAAAGATAAGACTATGAAACACCTAGCCCACCTGAGCTCCTTAAAGGCAGACTAATTAAGCCTGTCTCAGCACGCATCCACAACAGATCTCCTCCAAACTCCACACGCCCATACCAGCCGTCCCCAGCTCCATCACGGCTCTGCGATCTCACCTTAAGTATGGTGTAGACGAAGAAGACGACGATGCCGATGGTGTAGATGGGCATGATGATGCCCATGGTGCTGCTGCCCTTGGTGGACGGCGGCACGGCGCCGTAGCCGCCCGGCGTGGGACGGCTCCCCGGCTGGGGGCCCGGCTGGAACCGGATACACGCCGGGTCAACACGGAATGATACACGGCGGAAAGAGCATGGTCAATAGAGAGTGAGAGGGAGGAACCAATAGAATATGGGTGGCTAGTAGTCAGATGACACTGAACGGAAAGGGAAGGCCACGCGATGAAAGCGAAGAATTTTATCAATAACGAATGACCCATGTTTTCAGGGTGAACATCACAAAACGTCACAGATACACCCGTCCAACCTAGAAGCCAAACGCGTCTACCAGCTCACCGGTGTTACAAAAAGACCCACTGTCCTACCCCCATCGGCCATCCGCCTTCATCTGATACCCGTGTTTCGCTGCTGTGGCCCCGACATCCCCGACATCCTGCCTCCTACTCAACCCACGCTCCTCCCCGCCCCCGTTACGGCCCACCCGACTCACCCGTCCCATTCGGTCCATGATGCGTTTCGGCTGTCGGTTGATGTCGTGTAGGTGAGCCTGGGCGGCGGGCGGCAGGTCTCCGCGCAGTCCCGGGTGGACGGGAACCCTGCGGCCCGCCGGCAGCTGGTCTGTCGGACGGAGAGAGACGGACACTGTCACCACAGGCCTCGGAGTGGAGGAGCTAGAAGGGCGGTGCAAAATGTGATGGGTGAGACCACTGATCACGTTGGCGACAGAAGTAACAAGAGAAGAGTTCGACAAACGTGGTGTTTTGTACGCTAAAAGATCAGATCAGTGACGGCAACGAAGTTTCACTTGAGTAAGTTAACTCTGAAGCTTCAACCTATTTTTTTTTTTTTATAAATTTAGCTCGAATGTTTGAATGGACGGATTGACAGAGCCGGAGCCCACGCTAAGCAGAGCTTGTTGCGTAGACTCCGACCCCTACCGTCCGATTGCGCAATTCCGGGTAACGGGAGGATTTAGATGCCAAAGTTTAACGTGCCCTTCAAAGCCGGACACGGCCTGTCCCACTCAACTGACTTCAACTGGCTGCGGCTGCTCCCACCAACCGCAGCCATCCCCGTCAGGAGTCTCAAATATCGAGCGCCGGAGCGTCTCGAACCCGGGCTCTCACTACCGGGAGTCCAATGCTCTACCAACTGAGCTACGGGACAGACAAACCTATCTATGTAACATCGGAATGGATATAGCATAAATTCATTAACATCAGACACTTAGTATCTGTTAGCATCAACACATGCACTACAGGGTGTCCGGAAAGTCCTGGCGCTTCTTTTGGACGCCGTGTAACGCGCGCTGTGATTATTGGACATTCAGCCAATCATCACAGACATGACCCCTCGTTGATTGCTCAGCCAGAGGTCGTGTAAATATGACCTTGAAATCGTTTTCAGTGATGGGTAGATGGGCGAAGATGCGCCTTGTCGCTGAATGCCTGCGCGCGGCGGCCGGGTGCGACTTGAACGAGGCTCGAGCTGCAGCGCGATGCGGCGTTTTTCGATGAATGGTTTAGCAGGTAAAGGTTTATTTCGACTCGGGAATTCCTTAGAAAATATCCTCAGACCGTTTCGAACGCGATATGGGAACGGAGCAGCATTTCAGCGCGGCAATCGAAGAAAGTGCGGGGGTCTGATGGACAAAAATGTCCCATCATCTTCGTCAATGTCGAATAAATGAATAACAGGCTGGCCCACGAGGGGTTCCTGGACAGCCACATCAACCCGAGGGTCAAGACGACATGCCCTAAGGGTCACTTCGCATTTCAACAGCACAGAGCACCCTCCAACAACGCCGCTGCCATTCAAGCTAAACTGACAGAGGAGCTTGCCGGGCCAGATCACCGTGGCGAAATGAGATCAGGCCGCCTTATTCTCCTAACCTGACCCGCTCGACTAAGGCGTGCTACGCGTTTTGTAGAACAGGATCTAGGCCATTTCTCACCCCAACCTGGAGTCGCTGAAGACTCGCATCATGACAGCATGGGAGGACCTGGAAATGCCCCGCATCGTCAAAACCCGCAGACGCTTCCTCCCCTACGTCGAGGCCGTCGTCGGCGCCGACGATGGTTACATTGAATGAGCACGTAGCGGAAGCATGTGGCTTGGTGTCCCTGGTCATTGTTTTGATCCATTGATTAGTATCTATGAACCAATGGCATTTGTTTTAGAAAATGTTGAAAAGCGCCAGAACTATCCGGACACCCTGTAGTGGCTGAAATGGCTCGAATTATTCATGCAAAAGATAGGCGTTATTATTCAGAACGAATAGAGCCGTACCACAGCAAACAACCACAATATCAGTATTGCAAACCCCCGACGCATTATAGAGGCAGGTTCACTGTTATTCACAAAGCTTCCAGCTACCGTGTTAGTCATGTTTCACAAAACGCGTGAGAAGGTCAGGAACTGTAACGCAGCCACCATTTCCGTCATCTGGTATTGATGAGCTGCAGCAGTTTGTTAGTCACGCGTCACATTTCTATTAGGACGTCCGCCACCACCGGGACCGTGTGGCGACTCTGTGGCAGCGCTCACTGGCGGCGGTGAGCTCGATCCCGCGTGGCGGCCGGACGTCCGCCCTCCGCACTCCGAACGTCCCCTCCAGGCAGCCCGTCAGGTTCCTGGTGGGCGGGTCGTCGGCGGCGCGGCGGAACTTCTCCAGCGCCGGCTCATCCAGCTGCACGCCGCAGGCGCGCCACAGCTCGTCGGCGCACCAGCCGGCCAGGCCCGGCGTCCAGATGTCCGGCCGCGGCTCGGGCGGTAGGTGCAGCGAGGCAGTCTCGGCGCTGCTGCGGTCGGCCCGCCACGACAGCCGCCGACACAGCTCCGTGAAGAAGAGCGCATTGCGCTCCTTGGTGAACGGCACCGGGTGGCAGCAGGGCAGAATGCTCGGAGGTCGGGTGCCAGTAATGGCAGCTGTTGGATGTGGGGTCATGGAAGAGTTAACCCTCAAGGGAAGGGCAGTGGTAACTGGAGATTCCAGCCAGTGTCAATTGATAACCTATCCATAAATTTTGGGAACCAATCTACCATGCTGCAAAGAATGGTAATGTTGGCAAAACTGTCTCAGCAAAGCCTGGAATATCCCGCAGCCAGTCTTCAGAATGATGTACTGCTTTATGAGCAGCTCAAGCCTAAAAGGCCTGAAGAACAGAGCAGCTCAAGGTCATGGTCTAAAATGTTGTGCTGACAGATGCCCAGGAATCTATTGTGTTGGCAAGGAAGATAGAACAAGATCAGCCATGGCATAATGCTAACATTTGAGCTTCCTTAATTAAGCTGGAGTGGAATGGTTTATCATCTGGTTGATTATCCTGGCTGGCCCAGTATGTCAGCTGTCACCATGACGTGCAATCTGGGCAGTGTTTCACGGGACGCTGCTACCACGCTGCTATCAAATTGCGCGAGCTGACGTCACACTTGTGGTAGTGTTGGAGCAATGGGCCTGTTGATGTTTCCATAGAAACCCAATTTGACACGTGTAAAAGCAGCGTGCTGTTATCACCGGTGAAACAGGGCCCTGGCAGTGATGAAACAGCCACACTGCTCTAGGCATTCTAAAGTGAACAAATTTGTGTGTGGCTGTTTTCAAACAAAATAATTTAAGTCAAAGTAGCATATCTATGATTAACTAAGCTCCAAAAGTTAGGCCTTGCTTACCCCTGGTAACCAGAAGTTAAAAAAGGAGCACACACAGCTTTGTCCGGGATTAAGACCCTTCGCTAACATTTGGGTACACACGACAGCAAGTCCATGCAAGCCGAGTGCATCCACAAGACATCTTCTTAAACCTGGCCATTTCTTGAGTTACAGCAAACATTAATATTGAAAAACTTTTCAAAGTGTGTTTGGCATAACGCAAATCCATATCTAGCCGCAATAACCTCAAGATGAAAAAACTTTTGCAGCCAATTTTTGCGCCAGAAATGACTCATTTTGCGAAGAAGCCTTATACTTGCCTTCATTAGTCGTTTCCGGAGGCGCAGGGGTGAATGAGGACTGCAGCATGGGGAAGAATATTCTTGGCCATAATAAAGCGAAGCAGCCAACAACTAAGGACAAAATAAGCACACTTTTCCCTGACCTAAGCCCCGCAGCGACCTCCATCTTCGACTTGTTGTTATGGTTCGAATTGCCAGTTCTACTTGTTTCAATGAACTTGCGATATACGGCACATGTTCTAGAGATTCGCTATAAGTTATTAGAGATATCTCCAGTCATTTCAAAGAACCGATGCAAAAGCCAAGCCTGATTGCTGACTATTTATGCAGACAAATTGAAGATAAGCTTTCGATCTTTTCACACTTGTTTCCGAAACGTTATAAATAACTGTGCTTCATTTATGAACCCGCTTTGAAGGTTTATTGTTCAGAAACCGACAGAACTCCCAAATCTAGCGAGATTTTTAGATTTTTTTGATAAATTTGAAACGTTATGACGTAATTAAAAAAAACTTGCAACTGTTTTACGTAATATTTCATTTATTTTTCTCATATTTTTAGGTATTTAATTCGCAGTAAAATGACATAAATATTCTGATAATAAATCATGCAAGCGATTGAAAAAATGAATACTACGTAATCTTCATTTAAATGATAGTGATGTTTTCTGCTGACTTCGAGATTTTCGGCAACTTGGCTCATCTGGCATCGGCTCTTCGCTTGTTGTGGGCGGACTCGCGCGACGGGAACGGGGATACGCCGCGGAGGGAAGGATAAATATAAATAAAATTGTTCAAATCCGTCACGTAACATGATCCAAGCATGATCCCTTTAATTATCGCGTCTAGCATGGTGAAGAACATATACTACGTTCGGGTTATTCAGATCGAGTAGGGGCCGCTACTGCAACTGGTGCGCAAGCTTGAGAGCTGGGTGATATTGATAAAGGTACCTATAGAGCTTTTTTTCGTGCATTTCAAGTTTATAACAGTAATGTTGAATGAATGCAACTTTTCATCATGCATTGCTGTAACAAATAATGACAGCACAGCATGAACTATGACAGACTTGTGTTGTACAGTTAAAGGAAATAGTTCACTTTTAACATGGGGTTTTGAGCTGGAATAGCAGTTTCGTAGCTTGAGCTGAGACTAGCACAAATTAGGAGCTTTTACGGCTCAACGATCACCCTAGACGAAGATATTCCACTTCTCGTTCCGAAAAGAGTGCCTTGTAGAGGTATGCGTGCCTTACACAGGAATGCAGCCACGTCATCGTCAGCCAATCAGCGTGCTGCTTACAGCGAATGCAGTATGCGTAGGTTTGAGCTACGCAATATGATTGGTCAATGGGTAATAAGCTTCCGCGTCAAACATTATTTTACATAGAATATAGTTTGTCCTATGTTAAAATATAGAAAATAATTGTTTTTACAAAAAGGTTTTATTTTATTTCATGATTATTTTGAGCATAAAAAATCATAAATCAATAGCAAAATACTGATTTCAGGAAAGTGGACTGTTTCCTTTAATTGTATGTTATTTAAACTTATTACCTAATACCAGCAGGTGAAAGATTATTTTAATTTGTCGCCTTTACCAGCCTTATGGTGCGCACTATAGTTATGGCTAGACCTTGCTGGAAAGTGCCGGTCCCGTAGCTCAGTTGGTTAGAGCGTTGGACTCCGCGTGGTGAGAGCACGCGTTCCCGGTTATGACAGTCCGGGTTCGAAGCGCGACGGGCGCTCGACATTTATGGGCCTCCTGACAGGTATGGTTGCGGTTGGTGGCAGGCCGTAGCCAGGCGAAGTCAGCGAGGGGACCGGCCGTGCGCGGCTTTGTGCGCACGTTAAACTTTGGACTCTAAATTCTGCCATAGCACCGGAATTGCGCGATCGGAGGGTAGAGGGCAGGGTCATCGCAACAAGCTTCGCTTAGCGGTGGCTCTGTCCTTGTGAATCCTTCCCATCAAAAGGTTCGGGCTAAATTTATAAAAAAAAGTGTCAAAACTCTACTTCAAAGTGCAGACTGGACCTCATTATCTTCTTCACTTCTACCTGATTTCTAAGTTCTACTTCAACTTGTCAGTGTAATTCACCTTATCTGTGTCTGACAGCAGCTCTGGCACCCCACAGCTCATGAGGCAGTAGTGTCTGTCATCCCGCCATGGAGGAGGGACAAGGGTTTGGGGGCCGCGTGACCAGCCGGCCGGCCAGGGATCGCCCTCCCGTCCGACCGCGAGGCAGGGCTCGTCCAGTCAGACGGCGTGTTAGGGTGAGTAGGGGTGTCTATGTATGGCTCCACTTCTCCTGTGATTCTGTCTAGATTGGTTTTTCAATTACGTAATACACTATACCAACCATCAGGTCTCACTATTCATCCCCCACCCAGTCCCCCAGGATGCTGAACACTGGCGTCTCTGCTGCGTGCCATCCCCAGGTGATCGCCAGTGACGATGAGGCCGACTCTGGATCGGAGCTCTCCTCGTCGCCATGTCGGCCCGCGGCGCCGTCCGGCGGCGGGCCCCGCTCCCCGGTGGAGCCGCCGCCGCCGCCGGCCGCGCGCGTGTTCGACATGGAGGCGGACATCTCCGAGCTGGAGCCGGCCACGTTCAGCACCATCCCGCGCGGACAGCCCGAGCCCATGCTGCGACTCTCCTGGAACCACAAGGTATCGGGCGGTGACGGGGCACTGGGAGGCGCTCAGTGAGGTAGTTTCAGAGTTAGAAACACGAAAATCACCGCTGCAAAATGGACTATATGCTGCTCCGGTGGAGTGCGAATTCGGATTTCTACTTGATCTGTTCGTCAGATGATCAAATCGTTCGAACACGTAAAGCGTGCACTGCGCTCACAACGCTGCATTCTCGACTATCTTGTAATCCTCTCCCCTGTCCTTCCCGAGCTGCGGAGACGACCCCCATCAGCTCCGTGTGCCGTCTGAGAGTCCGGTCTCCGGTCCGCGGCACACCGTATCGGGGCAGATCGCTCACAAACATTAACAATTACCGGGCATAACGCTAATACATATGACTCCACGCTGAATGGAATCAGGTGATCTAATTTTCAGGCATCGCAACGCATGTGATCTTATGTCATAAAGTTTCGTTCATTGAGCAATGAACACAGCACTGCTGTCTGCTTCCTTATTGCGTTGAATTTCTCTTTGTTCGTACTTCGTGTGTTGTGCAGGATTTATGAGCACGTTGAACCATTATACGCTGCTGATGCTGATCGCTTACCTCTGCCTACCAGGTAAACCTGATTGCGACAAAGGTTCTCAATCCACTGATACACCTGTGTGAGAAGTGTGACTGCCCCATCCTGGCCTATGGAAGAATGGTAAGAATATATATGGTGTAATTGTTTGTATAACTTTTTATAGTCTGCTTTCATACTTTGTATGATGTTTTTTACCAACTGAACGGTCCTATAATTTCATAGGAATCGATAAATGGTGCGATATTATCGAATGCTATCGGATATTTTTTTCTCTGCAAGTGCGTCGCCAAGTGTCCTGACCGCTCCGTGTTCTTCCTCTGTACGTTGTCAGATTCCGTGCAAGCACGTGCTTTGCTACGACTGCGCCAAGGTGATGGACAAGTGCTGGCGCTGCGGCGACCGGGCCACGCGCGTGGAGCGCGCCGGCCTAGGGAAGTTGTTCATGTGTCTGCACGACGGAAAACAGTACGACGTGAGCGGGTGTCGGCGCACCTACCTCAGCCAGCGAGATCTGGAGGTGAGCTACCAGCAGTGGGGAGAGCAGGGGAGGGTGAGAAACTGGGGACGCTGAAAGGAGACTGGGCGAGCATGGGAAAAATGGTCTCGAGGCTTGAGCTGGAGTAAGCGGAAGCTGGCGTTGAGATACACGCCAGCTCCCGGTCAAGCGGTACAAACTTTGTGGTGTGTACGGAAGGCTTTTTACTCGGGTTTGAGGGTAGAGCTCAACCAAGGAGCCAGTGTGTTGGCTGCTGCACCCGTATTTAGCACGTACGCCCTGCTTGAATTGGCACTGGCAGTGAAAACTACGGTAAGCCTGACCTGTCTCAGTATTGTAGTCTATAGAAACTGTGTAATGCTGCTGAGTCGCTGACACTGTGTCGTTTTCAGGCTCACATTAACCACCGTCACCGTCGTCTGCCGGTCGGCGGTCCGGGCCTGTCGCGGCCGGCGGCACCGGAGCCGCTGCCGCCCCCGCCGCCGCCGCCGCCCAGACGTTTGTCGGAGGACCGGCCGCTGCCGGACCCGCGCGACCCGCGCCGCCACGAGCCGCGCACGCCGCCGGCGTACGGCGCACACGGCGAGCCGGGCGGCCTGACCAGCCCGCGGCCGGCTGGCTATGGCGCCAAGCCGCCGGCGCCGCCCATGAAGCAGCAGCAGATACCCGTGATGACCACCCAGCGCAGCAGTAACCTCATCACTATCCCTATCCAGGGCCAGGAGCCGGCGGCCGAGCAGTCCCGTCAGTCTCATCAGTCTCACCAACACCAGTCACATCAGTCCCATCAGCCGCATCAGTCCCACCAATCCCACCAGTCCCATCAGCCGCTGCAGCAGTACGGCGGCTACCAGAGCGGGTACTCGCCCGCCGGTCCGCAGCACTCCACCTACCAGCAGCCGGCCGTGTCCCCGGCGGCCTTCTACCAGACCACGCCGCCGCCGGCCGCCGGGTACGGCCGGCCCTTCGCCCCCAGCGGGCCGCCGCCGCCGCCGGCCGCGCCCTACGGAACGGCGCACAGCGGCCAGCACATCCAGCATCCTGCACAGCACAGCGTCCAGCATCCCACACAGCATAGTGTACAACATCCTGCACAGCATGGTGTGCAGCATCCTACGCAGCATAACTTACAACATACGGCAGCTCACGTTACTCAGCACGGGACTCCGCACGGAACACCGCACGGACAGCACGGAACGCCGCACGGACAGCACGGAACACCACACGGACAGCACGGGACGCCGCACGCGCCTCAGCACGGCGCTCCCCAGCCGTGGTCGGCGGCGCCGCCGCTGGGCCGTCCGCCGCCTCCTACCTCGCACTACTACCGCTAGAGGCGCCACTGTCGCGCCGACTTCTCTCAGGTGGGAGAGGCTGCCGTCGGTCGATGGGGAAGGCTGGGTGTGGGTTTGAATGGACGGTTTCAAGCCCGGGACTCTTGGCGCATTTGATTGGTCAGTTATGTTTTGGTTGGTTTTATTTGCCTTGCGTCATATTCACTCGTCATTACCGAGGACAGCTGGGTCACTTAGGTTCGTAACATTTTTCTTGGGCCACTCGTAGGGTCATTTTACCATTTATTAAATAGTTTCTAACCGCATTTAGTTCTATGTATTACGCGTTAGGCGTTGGTCACTGCAGCGCTGTGCTCTTCAGACTGCAAAACATGTCAAAAAGCGCCTGAGGAAGGAAAAGCTACTTCCATGAGTGTTATCGTCCACGAATTGTCGCAGCTGGTGCCTCAGGGATTCGAGAAAGATTTCTTATTTCGCTCGGCTTTGTCTAGTCATACCCTCAGTGCCAGGTTGCGTTGAATTTCAGTGGCTTTGGCACAACGTTCGCTAATTGATAGTCACAGGTCTCTTGGTCACTGATGTAACTGAAGCCGTGCAAACACTCTGAAAGGAGTGTGCCAGTGGCAGCCTGGATCTATATCTATCTCACCATCGTTTATGGTTTTATTTCGCATCCTGGGAGAATCGCAACCGAAGCATGCTTTCATAGTTGCCGCAGACGGGCCTTGGTGCTCTGTTTTAGGTGTGAGCTGAAAGTTGGGTTTCTACGTGACCAATCTGGTATCAGCGACTGCCATCCAGGCATGTCTGCTGATCAGTTTGATTCGACACATCTGAGCCAAATTAGTGGCCTGCGCCTTCACCACTGGGCTGTTTTCTTTCCCTGGTTCACAATTCACTTGTACTGTGGCTACTGAACGTTTCAGGGCGTGACGTTTACGGGGTTTTGTCCCACCTTTTCATGGATGTTTCCTAAAGACGCGCCAGTCCCGTTTTCACTTAATGAATGAGTGCGTTGGGTTGGGGTGCCAGCTCGCTACCTGTATTACTCCGCAGTCGACGCCGTGCTGGAAGAGCGACGCAGTTCATAGTACTGCGCGGCGCCCCCCCCCCCCCGCCATCGATTCTGGGCCTTCCACGCGTTTCCGGAAGCTCCGTCTTCCTCGGCCGTGCCCGACACTCCATTACTAGTCACCACGGAACGGCAGCGACCATTCGCCCGCCCCCATTCATCCCTGGCGTATCGATCCGGTACGATCCAGAACTGTCCGGATCTATCCAGCGCCGCTCTGGCGTCTGGCCCCCTGGTGAGATATCGGCGATCCCATCCGCGTGTCACGCGTGACCAGTTTGGTGTAATTTTATGTCTAGTCCACTAATGTGTACCGTGGAGTCGTACAAAAGACAAAGTGTGATTTTTGGCCAGTGCGATTTGTGTACCTTTTGTCAGTGATTTTTGGACAACCGTAGTGTTTAGGCTGTAGGCAGTCATCTTTTCACCAATTGATGTTCTATTTGTGTCCAGCTTGGATGTTTCGCGGGGTGATTCCCATTGTAATTGTTAGCGGATTGTTCAGTACCTGTTTGCGTACGTTATTGCACTTTTTATCTTATCTACAGTAGATGTTGTTTATGTAACACCTTGGCTAATTCGTACAAATCAATTGAATGTAGTCTTAATGAATTCGCATTGTTTCGTTCCGTATTGTGGTAAATATTTGTAGTGATCGTTGTTCTTTTGTCTAAATCATTTGATTTGTTGTTTCAATGTTTAAGTCGATATCATTCATCGGGCGCATTTTCGTGACCGTTTCAAGTTTGTGATTTTTCGAGCTTAGTTTATTTCATGTTCTTATTGCATGACAATCGTCCACACCTCGTGTCGGATAGTGTGTATTACATACTGATCTCACTTGAACGGAAATTCAAATACACTGATCGTAACGCATATACCGGTATAACAGCTCCAACGACTACCGCTACGGCCAACAGAATCGGAGCCGGCGCCGCCGCCCGCGCAGCGGCAGCTGCACTAAATAGCATCTCTGTCTGTCTGTCTCGCGTGCCGCACGTGACCCGCGCCAGCCACAGCACGACCCTGCATTGCTCTCACACTCTGTCCGTCCGCCCTTACCGGCGGCTCTCCGTCCGTCCCGTCCGTCCTCGGGGCTCGCTTCCCCTGTGTGTGTCTATCGGCGCCGTCCGTCCCATCAGAGCACCAGGTGCTGATCGGAGGCACACTCGCCGTTGGTGAGTCGGTGCATGGCCAGCTCGGAGACGCCGTGGTAGTGCACCATGGCCGCCGCCACTACCAGCACGTGGAATATCTGGTGGCTCTGGAACTGCACACACGGGGGCGGGGGCAGCGTTAGATGTGGGAACGTAGTTACGGCGACACAGACTGACTTCATCAATAACATCCGAGTGCAATGCAGGTGGACTTTCCAGTAAATGACGAATGAATTATGAAATTCAGGCTATTCGTGTAACAGAAAAAAAAATACAACCTTAGCTTCTCAACTCTTAACGAATAAGACTGACGTCTTAGCCCAGCAACGTGCCAGCCAAGAAGAGGCAATTAAACTCCAGTAACCCTCTCCATGCAACCACTGATCGGTTTTACCCACAACTACCACTCGACTTCACTCACGTAGATGTCGCATTTGCCGGGGAACCACCTCTCGGGCACGCGGAAGGCGTAGAGCAGCGCGCCGGCCACGTACAGCGCTCCCATGAGGGCCAGGTAGCCGACGGCCGTGAGCGGCACAGAGTTGAACCAGCCCTCCGAGTACAGGTAGTGCACGGCGGGCACCACACCGCTCAGACCGAAACCCAGGAACAGACCTGGGCGGAGGAGGACGCGCGGTTAGTAACTGGTCAAGGGGGCGTCAGAGGTTCTGCACTGGTCAGCAACGTGCATGTGAGCTGGCGTGTTGCAATTGGGGTACATGGCATGACCTGACGGCCGGGTGTGGTTTCTAGTTCATCACGACAGGTTTCGGGCGTCATAAAGACACCACCTTGCACCGCAGTGGCCACGTCACAACCACAACCACAACAGTGCAGTAGCTCAAAAACGTGCAGCGGAAGCAACAAATACTGCACAGTGCACAGCACACAAGCGTGCACCGGCATGTCGGCCAGCCACACCTGCACACGGTGCAGTCAGAAACCTCGCCTAAGTCACCGCCTCGTCACCGAGTCACCGGCGGCGACGAGCTACAGCTGGACGGACCCGCGCAGCTCACAGGGTTGGAAAAGCTTTACATCGGAACAATAGATACGATACGAAACAGCATTACGGGTACCCGGAAAACACTATAACCGACCCACCCCAGCCGCGCACCACCATTCAATCACGTCAAAAGAGTACACCCCGCATAACCGAGATATACTGCACTTATCTCACCAATCTTAATGATTCACAACAAACCCACCACAATTTAATCACCGCACAATGCCCAGCGACACTGAGCCAATCAACACTAACTTCACACACCACGGTTCCTTCACAACGCCACATCTAACAAACAGCGCAAACCTGTCATGCTACTTATAATGCAGTCACTACAATTGAACCATACGACCCCAGCTAATTCATTCGCTACAAAGCCACCGTGTTCCCTCCTCACTAAATCACGACAACACAGCAGTCGCAATGTCCCCCCTAAATCACTGCATGAATCGTTCAGCGGCCAGCGTCACCGCCAGCCAATGACATCAGCCCGCAGCCTCGCGCCCCACGGTTTCCGGGCCCGCGGTCGCTACCAACACATACCTCACCCGCTGACCTGTCAGTCTGTCACCGAGCGCCGCTGGCGTGACCCCACGCAGCGACCACCAATCGCATACGTCACCGGGACGAATCGAGTACTAATGGCCCGGCCTGGACTAATGAGTTCGATCGGGCCGGCGCACTGTCACAATAGGAGCGCCTTTCGGCAGCAGCTGACGCAAGACGGTATGGTTCTGTATAATAATCGGCCGCCTGCACGGCATCGACCGATGACTGCTCAGTATAGCGGAAATATAGCGTGGAGGGGCTGCTGCTGGGGAATGAATGATGCTGTTGATTACTCGGCGCTCTATGTGTACCGCTTCGTCCTCAATAACAACTACTTTACATTCAAACAACTCACAAACAACGGCCTCACTACGAAACTACCTATCGATCTCAATAATCGTTATCAATTCGAAGAAGACCAGTATTCACATTACACAATGAACATACACAATGCTCACACATACCCAACTCTATCCCCGACCAGTCAACCCTGTCCCCACCAGTCCACCGCGCCCTCTGTCCTCCACTGACCTGCTCGCAGCATGCGGTACTCGGGCTCGCCAAACTTGTCCACCAGCGAGACGATCATGCAGGCCGAGCCCAGGCAGATGACGCACGTCAGGTAGATCACCTTGGGCACGAAGCTGCAGTAGAAGCCGTAGTACAGCCACGGGATGAACGAGCCCACAATCAGCAGCGAGATGCCGCAGTAGTCGAACCTGACGGACAAACGGTGGGACGTCACGCCATGGAACCAGCCAGTAGTGTCACAGAAAGAACAGGGAGGCCCGTTTAGCATAGGAACACGGACCGATATGTGCTCCCACTGAGAGGGCATAGATGGGCGGATACGTCACAAAGGGAGCAATCAGGGCCCGTGATGTCACGAAGGAGCAGCTATGGACACGGTGCGTCACGAAGGGACGTGTTAGTGACGCAGTATAATAATGAGGTAGGGTCTGCAGTCCCAGTATGTTGCACCCCCTCACCTCACCCCAAGGGTGAGTTATTGACGCCACTCATATGGTCCGACTGTCATTGTGGTTTATGGCCGTCACATATCCCTATGGTTTATTGCATCCATAAACACCAAATGACTTCTTTCCATTATATGGTATGCGGATAGTTGATGTCCCTCACCAGAAGAAAGAATATACAGGTCTTTTTACTTAGTTCGAGCCTGACTTGCTACTAAAACGCATTCATTGAGACTCGTCACTCAGATGCTTCACTAAAACCTAAATTTTCGAGAATTTTTGGGCGATCCATCTCAACATGGCTGGCTGTATGTGCGCTCCATACTATGACAGAAACAATGCAAGAGCAGCGTAGTGGGTAGAACCGAACTCTCCTACCCATTTCGTTCAGTCACGTAATATGTAATCGAACATCAATGTTTGATTGCAGGACAACGCACATTTATCACATGCGTTACGGTAGCAATGTAATTCAGGCAGGCCATTTAAAACCTAGATTCCCTACGGTTAGCTAAAGCACTTCACCGTCCCAACAATCTGTCTCCCATGGTGTTCGAAATGTCCCCCGCAGTGCTCGAAATGTCCCTGGGCCTGGCTTATTGACCACCTAGCGGGGCTTATTTAGTCGTTTGGGTTATGTCTGGTCAGTGGCGAAATGTTAATGGCAGTATCCAGAGCCACACACCACAACACACAGAAACAAAGCCCACTGAGGGGGCGAGTAACCCTGGGTTCTAGGTAAAGCGGCCACGCTTCACCAACATTGAATGGCACTGGCAAAGGTGAACCAGCAGCAATCGACCACCCACGCCCTGCGCATGGTCGGCGTCATACAGAAAGGGATCGATGTAAACGGGGCAGCAAAGTGCGGTGATCGAAGCGAACGCACGTTCATGGATTTTCTTTTGAACCAGAGAACAACGTTGAGGCTGAAATTATCTCTTTGTCTCTGATAAGACAACAGCAGGGATCAATGTTGGGGAGTCCATACCGGCACCGGCAGTCGTGATGAGGTAATGGCCGCTGCGATAATAAATATGTATTTCCCCAGTTGGGCGGCCGGTGATGGTCGTTTTTGCCGACTTTGCGGCACTATTAGCCGATCAGTAAACAGTCATCAGAGGTGCCAGCACATCGACGCATCGAGCGCAGCCCAGAGGCGGCGGGCCCGGGGCCGTCAGCGATCGACCCGGCATTGAGAATTTATGTAGCGGGCGCCGCCCCGCCTGCGATTCATTCCACTCGGCGGGCGATTGATTGAACGGGGCTGAGAGAGGTGCCATCAAACAAAGCAGCTACCGATCGCAGCTAGATGAGCGGCTTCAACTTCAGGACACGCTACTTCCAGTCACAAATCCACCGTTTCAATCACCCCGGGCCGGTCAAGGTCGGTGTTTTACACAAATCACAGCGCAGCCACTATCACGAGAGGCAGCCGCCAGTAGGGGAGAGTGGGGCACATTCGTGCATGGGGCACATTCGTTTTCAGCAGTTTATGGGAACACGAGTGACTGCACGAGCTCAAGGTAAATTATGGAAATATGTCTATCATTGCCGCCCTTCGTTCACCGTAGAAGACAACACTGTACCTGCTGTCATGCTTGATAAAAACGCAAATTTGTAATATTCGTGAGCTTTCCAAACTTTTCTCATATTATCCATTTTCGTGATCCTGACTCGGAAATGTGGTTCAGCTTTTCAAAATTGGGGGTGAAGAAGCTCACTCTATTTACGGAACTGCTGCAAACTTGTTTGTTAAAAAAGTGTCATTTTTTCAAAAAGAAATTTTGAAATATATTACTAATAACGTTGTGGGGCAGGTTCGTGTACGCACTGCCTGGGGGCAAATTCGTGCATATTTTTTTTAGTTTTTGCGATTTATGACTTTATCTGTAGTAGGTTTCTCTAATGACGCTCGCCTGACTCAGTCTCGACTGCTTGCGACGTTGTGACGAGCAATTCACGCGAACTTGGCGAGGTCACGGAGGCCGGCAGTTGGCACATTCTTGTTGGCCAGCCCATTCTTTCTACATATGTTGTGCAATGCATTCTTGTCGAAAGGAATCAAGTGAAATGACCCCCTGCCAATTTCCTTTGGTAAATTTCTGGTAATGCCCGGTAATTTCTCGAACTTTGCAGGGTGAACGGAAGTGCCCCACCTCTTGAACGAATGTGCCCCATAGGTGGGGCAGTTTCGTGCAAATGTTCAGAGTTATTAAAAGTCATTTTTCTAATGGAAGCAATAATTTTAGAGGATAACTTTTAAAGAGGAAAACTATCTGCAATAGTTCCTTTCCATACTACAATCAACAATTTTGCCATTGCACTAACCAAAGAACAGATATATGGGTTTATCCATTTTTTGCACGAATGTGCCCCACTCTCCCCTATATCACCAGTTTATGTCAGTACCCTATACCACAACTGATCACCAACCGCCACTGCAGTCACAGCCCACCGGGACATCCCTACTCACTTTGAGAAGAGCCGCAGTACCCGCTTAGAGTGGCAGCCGACCGTGTGAAACGTGAACGAGGCGCCCATGCAGACGATCGCGCCGGCGAAGAAGCACGAGAACACCAACTTTTCCTGAAAGTCCACTTCCACCGAAGGCCGCGTTAGGAAGTAGGTGGCGATTATCACAAAGCCGATACAGCCTGCGGGAAAGAGCGGGGAGGGGCGGCGGTCAGAGGGGGCGGCGGCCTTGACTCCAACTGGGGACACTGGGGAGGGGAGTGTGTCACTGAGGCGTGATGGGCCGGCACAAAGGGGAGTTATGTAAGGCGGAATTAATTCCCGTGAACATATCACGAATATAGGTATAGCTGCATAAATCGTTCAATCCTATAACACTAATGTACACGTTCATCATGGGAAAGGTCAATATCTTATTGGCACCAAACGCCAGCAATGAAGCAATCGTTCAAACGCATTAGCCTCAATGGTGGAAACAAAGAGAACTGTAACATTCGCAAATATATTTCCTAGCTTACATAACAGAACAAAGAGAAGTTACATCCAATCAGCATAATTTTGAGCCTATTGGCCGTCCGTCCTATCCCGGCTCATAACTCCGAGATGAATGACGGGCTCACAGCTGCGATTAGATTAAGTCCGTTAAGTGAGTGTCAGTCCGACATGGGGAGGGGTAGTGGTCGGCCAATTGTCCAGAGTACCGATATAGCGGCGCCGTGCCGAGCGATACCGAGGGCGGAGAGTGGACGGCCGGCGTGCGTCATCCATCTGTATCCCCCCCCCCCCGGGACTCCGAGCGGTGTACCCCCTCCCCCTCCCCCCAGAGCATACGTGCCCGAGTGTCGCTACCCGGCCCGGGCCGCCTCTGACGCGCAAACCAGGCGTGATTGTACGAATGATAGTCTCCAGAGGCAACCAGATTCTGTCTGTACCCGTCAGTCCCCATCGAACACCATGCGAGAGATAGGGTTACTATCAGTACTATCGGAACTGTTGAGAAATGCGGAGGGCCCATAGAGTGGCATTATCATTGGTGAAGAGTCAGTCTTTATCAGCCAGTCGTGACACGTTCTGTGCCCGCGAGGCATTCAGGTCACGTTCCCAACCCTCAATGTGCTTATTGCAACGTGCGAACACGCTGAGTTTGATTAGCCAAAGTTGGGGAGTTTGGCAGCAAAGTTTGTAGCAGCTAATAAGCACCCAACTCATCAGACAGCTAAGGCGACGCGGCAGTGTTATTGACAGCCAAACCGTCCAAGTGTTAGTACCAGACTCGATTTCCAGACCAAACTAGCGTTACCTAATGGTCTTTTCACTCTTTTGACAAGCCGTTTAAGCATTCCTTCAAATTCTACTCTACACTCTACAGCCTACCGCTTCCATAAGTCGCAAACCAAACCCCGATATCAGCAGTTTCTGAGTGTGACTGACGAGGCTTTCAGAGCTGACAATGTCCTGTCCCTGTTTATACCCAGTTGCACCCACCGAAACAAAGCCTCAATGAGGGCATACAAAACATCCGGCTGAGAACACGATCGGACGTACTCAACCCAGATACACGACCCTCTATGGTAATGCATAACACGGTAGTACTCTTTCAAAGGGTGCGGAGATTCCATCAGATTGGGTGCCAGCATAGCAAATAGAACGCTTCAGTTCAGGTAATGACATGGTTGTTAGCTTCAAACCGTATAGTATCGCCACATTGTGGACAAGATGGGATGCCTATACATAGGCACATCAACCAATACATAGATGACAGATAATCGTCACTTTAGGGACACCATTGGGAGTACACTAATTTCCCTGTCAATTACCACCCACCCACCAAGCATTTCCCTTGGCCCACCAATGGAATTCTGTCAGAGCCTCAGCCCTCCCTGGGCCGCCACACGGTCCCCTGACAGCGTTCTGTTGCTGTTGGCGCCCCTCGCCCTCCTCGCCTCTCTGGTATGGACAGGCGCCCCTCACGGTATGACAGCCACGCTAACGGCCGACGGCGGGTCTCCCAGGCGCCCCCGCCCCCGCCCCGGCCGGGGGACCGTCCATCTCGACCCGGGCCGACCCGCCAGCTGACCGACCCGTGACGTCACACCGCCGCCGGCTGAATCAATGGCGACGGACGGAGGCGGGCCGCCGCCGGCAGCTGTGGGCGACACCACTGGCAACGCGCAAATGGTCTCCGGTAAAACGAAAACACCAGTTCTCGAGAAAACACCAAAAGAAAAGGGATGCCACGGCTGAACTGCACACGTGAAAAATGTCTCGGACCGGTGCATTTGAAAGCAGACTTTACAAATGTTTGAGTAGATACATTGGTCGCTTGTGAGTGCAATGGTTCATATTGCAGTTTATATGGCCTCCCAATGGTAGGCATAATGGTGGTGCTCAAGCCCCATAGAGGCGAAAACAGTATATTATATAGCGCCAAAATGAACCAACACTAAAGCAAAAGTCACACTACAAAGCAATCGCTCATCACATCCCTTACGCCAACAAGGCATGGGATGCACCACATGGGACAAGGCAATAAATACACCTAACCTCATCAGTATTTAATCCTCCGGGCTAGTTTTTAGCTGCCGGTCCGGCGACGACTCTGGCCGGTCAGGTCTGGGGCCCAGTTTTTACTCCCAGTCAAATAAAGGTCACACGGAAGTCACCGACACGGGATCCGGGCGTGACGGGCAGCCGTCCGAGCGGCCGACGGGTACAGTTACAGCGTGCAATGAGCGGCGGCGCGGCGCCACTCAGGTGCGCGTATACCTCTGTATCACGACGATCAGCGGGACGAGGCAGGGAAGGTTTAGGGTCAGCCATGAGTACGGGTCGACGAGTGTCCAGAACCATCAGTGTTGCCAAGACGCACGGCACCAATCTCTGGGCGAGAAATAACGGTTCACCTACATCCGGCGTGGGGTAGCTAGCATAACGCCGAACCACTGACTAGCAGCTCAGACAAAATATATTCCAGCTTGGAGCACTAGTCCTAATCGAATACAGCAGGCACCTACACCTGAATAATAACTTCCAACCAATCACGCATGCCTGTGTCTGCCCCGGCCGGAGCCCCCACATCCCGTCATCTAGCCGAGAAACCCCGGCTGGCCGGCCGGGAGGCACGGACCCGGTCAAAGGGTCGGTTATTGATCGGTCTGACGCCGGAACGCCGGCCGGCTCTGCCCACTGCCGCCGGGCCCGCCGGCCAGCGCCGGTTCGTTACCTCGGTACGTGGCACGTGCTCACTGCAGCGGGCCGCAGCGTCTATCTCGGTCACCGCGCCAGGAACGGACCCGCTCAATGAGCTCCTCAGGACAGCCGGGCCACGCCGAGACGTGATCGAGAGACGTCCAAAGCGCCGGCCGCTCAGTAGAGACTGTCCCGCTGAGTGGGCCGGCCGCGATGACCGGCTCGTTCGACCGCCCGACTGCTGGCGGCCGCCCCGGATTCAATCATCATCACGGCCCGCTCAGCTCAATCTGGCCCTGCCGCTCTGCAGTCCCATCGCCTCTCTCGGCGACCATCGTCACCCGCGGCACGATCTCAATAGCGCTGCCGGCCGCCGTTCGGTGGCAGACGCCGGGCCGGGCGGCGAGGTCGGCCGGGCCGCTCCCACAGCGGCGGAGTTATCCACAAATAGACGCTGGCGGGTCGGCCTCGGGACCGGCACGGAATTACCGCACGTGACGCCATGTCCACCGCCTCATCTCACCACCCCCATCTCATGAGGCTATTCCAAGGACTGCCACTGGATTTACCATAATCCTACAGTAGCGATTTAGCGCAAATGTGAAATGTGAAGGCTGCATGGAGTCTGCAGTCATAAATCACCCCTGTCAATCACCGATTACAATCCTGGACACCATCCACTCATGTGTCTTCTGTTTATCACCCTACCCGCCCCCACGCCGCCAGCCGACAGCGCCTCTCACCGAGCAGATGCGTCCAGATGTTGATGGTCTCCGTGTGTATGTAGAAGATGGAGCGGAAGCAAGCGTAGAAGGACGGCATGGGCGCCCGGTGCGACTTGTGGATGTAGTCGTTGTCCTGCGCCCAGGGCGGCAGCGCGTGGAAGGAGACCAGTCGGGTGCCGGCCGCCCACACCTGCCGGTCACAGAGGGAGGGGGCGGACGGTTAGTGCAGTCGGGGAGTGAGCAGTGGGGACGGACAGATGACAACAAGCCATGTCAAACAGCACGCTACTACGTTAGCCTGGTACATTTCAGATTGCTAGCCCCAGATCATACTGGTTGTCTCTGGACGGTGTCTCTGGACACACAATGCTTAGTGTGAGAACAGAAAAATGCCTCCCAAAACCAGAAAGACAAAATAAAATAAAAGCCACATTTCGCAATGTAATGCACCAGCGGACAGTGAAAATACCACCGATGGCGAAAGGTATTCGCAGAAAAATGGAAACTATGGACGTATAACCACTGCAAAAATCAAAACAGGTGTCCGTATGTCAGCTGTCCCCGAGCCCAGCTCCCGGTCGCCAGTTTACATTGTTACTGCGGGCCGGTGCAGAGTCCGCACGGGCCGCATATTCACTGCACCAGCAGTCACGTTTTGCTCCCACATCCTCTGTAGACAAACAGGTTCAGTCGACTCGGCTCAAGAACCTTCCACCGTGAGCTGGTATTTCCACATACTCAGGAAGCGGTCAGGCACTATCAGTCTTAAGCGCGGCACGATTATTGTGAATCCAGTGATCGACATAAACATTTAATAAAGCTGGTATTGTTTGAGCTGTGCGTCAGGGTACCCAAACAGTGGGACTTACTGAACCTAAGCCCTATTTATCTAGACCACTCAGGTGTGCAGAACTCCAGCTAATCTTTCCAGCTCGGAAACCCCTACCCCTTCACAGGAAAGCCCGGACGTCTCTTCGGACATAGGCGCCAATTCTGGACGTTTTAAATTAAATTGAAATAGGTTATAGGTTCCAACGCATAAATTGAACAGTGCACGATTCTCATGAAAATAATCACGAAGGCACATCATTAAGTAATTGTAAGTTTAAACCACAACTCCTGGTTTCGAGCACCCAGGCTTACTAAGTGACGACGGTTACCGTCGAGCCGGACATTTATTCTGCTTGCAGATGAGCCGAGGACGCCGACAGTATCCTGCAAACGTGGCACTGACGGATCAGAGTCCCCGTCACTTTTGCCCGATGTCAGTGCCTGATGCCATATGGCCTTGGGCGGGCCTGATGTGACCACTAGCTGGCACTCAATAATTGCTGCTCCTGCCATTTCTGCTGATGACCAAATAAGGATACCGCTCAAGACCTTCGTTATTTGTTCGCTATAAAACTCCCAGTGCTTAAAGTCAGCACTTTCGCCTGCTTAGTGCTTCTACAAAATACCAACACAGAACGTAGCAGAAGCGACCACTACTTAAGACAAAGCATCTGGCAAATGTGTTTTTGAAACAATGTCTTACAAAAAGTGTTCCTTCCTTTATTATGAGCGAGAGACAGACATCACGTCACGAGCCAGCTAACCATTCATCTTTATTTGCCCAACGCAGATTCCCACGAGTACGGCTAACATTTTTATCATATAATCCCCAGAGTAGAATTGTCCTTCACCGAATTTCAACATATGATGGCCTGTGGCAATCGTGGCGTCATTCAAGACGCGGGGGGGGGGCGGGCTGCCAGACAGGTTCTCCAATCCAGCCTACAAGACTGGCGCACTGCAAAAATCAATAGTCCCACGGACAAATTGGCACGGCGATCCCCAGAACTAGTCCTCAGAGCAGCACGCAGATGAGCATGCCGATCACAGGTGCACGAGCAAGTTTAACGCAATCAGCATAGTTTCCGAGGCGTTACAGCAGGTGGGTTAAACCCAACAAAAAGTTTGGCATGGGCCCAAAGCCAGCGCAAACCACGTTAGACGGTGTAACCTGACTGAAAACCTGTCAATTATGAAAGCAAGTGACCCAGATTAGGACAGATGCAATTCTGAGCGATTTACACAGCGCTTTGGTGGCCAAATAGAGCAGCCTTACCAGATATTTGGACACACAAAACTGTCCGAAACAAAAAAAAAAACTACCTCTTATCTTTTCTCAGTTCTAAGCATTGCGGCAAACAACTATGCAGTCCAATAACCAAAGCAGCATATATTCTCACCAAACCCCATCCCCGCAGCCAACTCTCGCTCTCTTTCTCTCTCCCAGGGTCAGACGGGTCGCTCTTTCTCGCCCGCCACTACCCAGCGCGCCGCTGAGCCGATTGCCGCCGCTTTGGCAGCTCGCTCGGTCCAATAGATCTCAATCTGGCCTGAGCTGCGAGCCCAGTGTTCAGGACGGCGCCCCCCCCCCCCCCCCCCCGGCCACGGTGACAAGTGCCCCGGCTGGTGACGTCACGTATCTGGCGGCGCCGCGGGTCGGCCGCTGCCAGCCGAGCCTCCTTTGGACGGCACCGGCAGCTGAGGCAGCTCTGAGGCCGCCAGCCCGGGCCCGCCACCGTCATCACTCAGATCGGCGGACGTCGCCGGGCTGGGATGGTCGCACTGTTGCATAGGATGGTTTTACAGACAGAACGCCGCCTCGTTAGTTCAAAGTTTAAAGTGAAAGAGCATGGTGTGGCTAAAATTTCAAACAGCTTGCTTATAGGCTCCCAATCTGCCAATATAAGTTTATACCTGAACGATGAGACCGTTCTCTGACGTTTTGACATCCTATTTACAAAAATTGATCAAAATCGTTATTGGGCCTTTGCTCTACCTAGGATGACGCTCTCTGTAGTACGAGTGTCATCCTTCTGTGCCACTCCTCGCAGCGGCCCGGGTCAAAGTGGCACTCGAGAGCGGCAGCAGATTGTGGAAAATGGACCAGAGAGCGTGAGAGAAAGACAGAGGCACGGAGTCTTTGCAGAGGCAAAGAAGGAAGATAGAGGGAGAGTGAAATATGGAGGGATAGAGGAGAGAGAGAGAGAGAGAGAGAGAGAGAGAGAGAGAGAGAGAGAGAGAGAGAGAGAGAGAGAGAGAGAGAGAGAGAGAGAGAGCGAGAGAGAGAGAGAGAGAGAGAGAGAGAGAGAGAGAGAGAGAGAGAGAGAGAGAGAGAGAGAGAGAGAGAGAGAGAGAGAGAGAGAGAGAGAGAGAGAGAGAGAGATAGCGCAGGGAAGCGCGAGGAAGGAGAGAAGAGTGGGTACTGGAGGTAGTCATTCATTTAGTCACTATTCATTTATTCCTAGACTCACAAACATATTTCTTTCGGTCGTTCGTGTTTTCAATGATCCCAGCTTACATAATCACTTCTCCATATGCAATATGCATACTCATACTCAACTCACCCACCCGTGCCTTAACAAACTCCTTTGTGGAGGCAGCACTTTGTTGATGCTCTAATTAAGTCATAAAGGAGGACATTAACAAGCACTTTCTGGCTATTGTTTAAGAACAAAGATATCTCCTTCTGAGAGCTAGGCGAGCGAACCGGTATCCAGCGGACACTGCTAAATAACTACGCACCTCATTTCGACTGCGCCAACACAAAGTAACGACACTTAATGAAATCAGGCCACACGGGCAGAGCGCAGCTTTAGCTTATACCGGAGTTCGTGTGAATTTTAATCAAGTCTTGGATAGGCTTGGAGTCCGGGCTAGATCAGAATTAAAATACTGCGAATGGGCACATTGAAGTTGACGGCAATACCCAGAGACGGTGCGCCCTAATGCAGTTTCAAACCATTAGGCAAATGGAAGCGTAAAAGCTCTGTGAGTTTCGGAGTCATCGCTCACAATGCAGTAAATCGTTCCAATCCAACTTAAGCCATCTAATATTTCACCATAACTCCGTGCCACCATCTACAAAATAAATATCATGTTCGTCGCCACTTTGGAAACTGACTCTCAGGCACGACATTTACCACCGTGCCAGACATCGCCGCTTTTGGCACCACTTTCCCATGACTTCTCTCAGTGACTACGACCACAACATCCATCCAAAGACAACTTTCGTCGACCACCGCGCGTTCTATGGTCCCCGTCACATCCCGTTACGTCACCGCACGGTCACGTCACGCCACGTTACCTACCTTGTGAGCGAACTCCTCCGCCTTATGGACCAGCTCCTCAGCATGTTCGATGGCGTTGTGCGCCAGCTGACTGAAGTCCAGGTCACTGTTGGACTCCTCCCGGTTGATCACCTGGTCCACCAGCTCGTCCTGTGGGGCGGAAACAGCACAGAGTTAGAGGCTGCGTCAGAATAGCACCGATCCTGTGTCGCATCATGTGTTTGGTAGTCAGCTGGCTCGGTAGCGATAACAAAGGAGGGTGGATGGTAAAAGACGCTGACGGAAAACCGGCTGTCTGGATTATACCGGTTTGTACCGAACGTCGCACTAACCCATGACGTCGTGTCATGTCCGTATTACTATTCACTATTCAGCATATGTTGACCGTTGACTACGTTTGCCAGAGGTACAAGCTGGGAGGTGTTTCACGGCCCGAAGCTGCAGTGCGCTGCAGCGCGCTGCTGTATTGGTGCGGCGTTTGAGACGGATTTGGTTCGACGCTTCAGCTTGCGAGCGTCCGGGTTTGTTGATGTTTCCGTGGAAACCCAACGCACTGCCGCGCGCAGCGCGCTGCAGGGCAGTGCCGTGAAACAATGGGAATGGGAAAAGGGTTACTGTCCGCTCACTTAGAGCAGAACTATTTTAAGTTGCCCTATCTTTCAACCAGTATTTTCAACAAGAATTGGATGCTTAATGTTTGGATGCTTAAGAACTTTGCCCGTTTTCCAACCTAGCATTTCATACGCGAAAAAACGTCCCGTTACTAACCACTCATGTTTCCACTTCTTGGAAACGACATTCACCAACGCCAAAGGAACAAAAAGCCCAGCTGACGTGTCCTGTGCCTGACTACAGGCACCCAGCAACCAAACAAAAAGGTGTCCCGCCGCGACCAGGGCGACCATGGGTCACGCCCACGCACTTACTAACGGCACCTCCACCGGTAAAGAACGCCAGTGGACGAAGACCTACTGCTCCACAATTACAATCACGTTCCTCATCGTATATCAATAGCAGCCACCATTCCGCTTTCGATACGATAACCATGAAGAGGATAACACCGCCGACTTCCGCCACGAGGGCGGCTTTCGATCAAGGTCGGGCGATGGCGTCGTCACCGGCTGGCGCGCAGTTGGGTCCGAGGTGTGCCGAACAGGGCCGGGGCGGGGGCGGGGGCGGGGGCACGGCGGCGCCGTTCAAGGCCCCGGCGGCGACCACCGGCCCGGCCTGTCACCGCCCCCGCCCACAGCAGCGACCGGAGCGGGCCGGAGATGGATGAACGAGCTGAACGGAGCCGATGTGCGTATTTATGGCCACAGCGCGATGGTTGACGAGCTCTCTACTCTCTACTCATTACCCATTACGGAGCTCTCTACCCATTACGGAGGTATTGGGAACCCATCAATAACTGCACGACTCGGTCAGCCCAGCCATGTTTCTTACCAAAATGATAGCTGATGAAATTTATAGGCGGTCGAATACGCCACATTTCTAACAGTGACATTAGTTCAGCCAAGTCAGCAAGTTATTGATGGATAGATCTCAATCGACTTCGTCCGTAAACTTCTCGAGCAGTAAAATAGAGAAATTCCAAGTCTTGCCCGCATTATCCCGCCGCCTATTTTCAATCAACACACCGCACGCTGGGCTCATTGTATCTATCTCCCTGTTTGTTGACGTTGGGCCGAACTAGGTTAGTCGGGTGGGCGGGCACACGGCCCTGAACGGGATCTGGCCCCGGGGGTCTGTGACTCAATCGACGGCGGCCTGGCACGCTCAAGGTAGGGGAAGTTTGTCTGGCTCCTTAAAGACCGGGTCTGTAGGCTTGGAACAGAGCAGCAAGGCAGTGAAGTCCGTCAATATCAGGCCAGCTGGCTTGCTTTCCCTATGAACTCCTAGTGATCCATATCTGAGCACTGATCGCTGCGCAGAGTGAAAATACTAAGCAACTCACTACCCAATCACTCAAGCCACTAGCCCAGTTGAAGTTCCCGCCGACCACATACCATGTTATCAGCAGCAGGAGCAGCAGCTCGCTGGACCGTGTAGGTGGTCGACATTATCCGTGAACTCGGTGGGACAGCGCGGTGTCTCTCCGTGTGCGCAGAGCTCCGTTCGGACGGTCGGCCGGGCCCGGCGGAGTCGCCCCGACCTCAGACAGACAGCGGACACAGACGGCGGCAGAGACCAGGGGCGCACGCCGCGGACGACAGGCAGCGCACAGCCAGACCCTCTGCACGCCGGGCGCCCTCCTCATCAGCGGCACGGCGGCGGCGGCGGCGTCACGGGACGGGCGGCAGGTGCCCGCTCAGTCGGCAGTCGTCACGCAGCGCCGAGAGTGGGTGCGACCGCACGGCAGGGTAGCTGGCGGGGCAGTGACTCCGACAGCCGCACATCTCCCGACGTTCCCCCGTACCCGAGCAGACGGCCTTGCCGGGCCGTGTGGCGCGATGTTTCGTCAAAGCGGCCGGTCAAGGACGCGTACTGGACACCTGAGGTCGACATGCATTATTGCAGGGCGCGTCGGAACCGGCCTGGACGGTCTGTGCAGCTTGAACCCGCCGGGCAGCGCTGTTGCGCAAGCTGAGCCAGCCAATGAACACGCGTTTCGTCAGGCGTGTCGGATGATGGTATTTCAGAAAGAAATGTCATAGGCGTTACAGAAGCCGCGGCAGAATTGCAATTTAAGCATTCACATATGATGTGGGTCATCTAAATCAGTTAAAACCACACACCTGAGGTCAAGGAAAAAAGGGTATCTTCCAAACATAGGATTATCGCAGTAGCGACTTAGATTTGGGACGCAGTACAAAGACCATTCGAGGCGTGTTGCACTTTGCGCCTCCTGGCACCAAGGTCAAATCGCGGTCATCGGGGAGCTACGCAGGGCGGCACGCACCACTCTTTCCCCAACCGCCCCTCCGGCTACAGACTGCTCTTTCCTCATCCGCCCTCCGGGCAGAGGGGTGCGATCTGCGGCAGCCACCTGTGGGGTCGGGCCGCGGCCCACGCACAGTGCAGTCGCTCCGGAATAGCTCCGTTCCCTGCGGCGGTGACTCGCACGCCCGCCGCTCAGCCCGGCAGCAGGCCGCGCTGTCGGCCGCTATGGTCGTTCCCCGGCCCACGCAGCAACAAAGGAAGGCGCCGCGCCCCGTAAACAGGCCAGTTTGGATCGTCCGGTCCTGCCCGGCACGCAATACCGATAAAACGGAGCACAACAACACGGAATGAAGCGAAGAAATGGGCCGATGGTATAGACGGAAGGCAGACCAGAAGCTGGTCTGTACAGCATCGAGGAATGGCACCAGAAACAGGAAGCATACCAACTCTCGTCTCGTGTCTTCGATACAAAAACCACAGAATAAGTGGATTATGCCCGTCCATGTAGGCGCAAATAAAGGTCAGGGGTTATTCCATACTCGATCAGCTTGTAGCAGTTCCACAGGAGATCCAGGAAGTGAACTGTTGTCAATCGCAGGAAGGCTGACGGACGAGCAATGAACTGACGACCCAGTGACACAAAAACCCGACGACAGCTACCCTGGACGCACAGCCCACTGCACTGACCCGCTCCTTGTATTTGCTGTGTTCGGGTGGACAAAAACATAGCGCTGATACCTATCGACAGCGAAATCAGTGAATTTTCAATGAGCGATACGGGTTGGGATGCTGCTCTTCAAATACAGCCTGCACTCCAGCGCTGTATTATTTATCAACGGAAACCAGAGCGTCTGATTGCACAAATTCAGCCACGCAGTCTGGCATAATTAACAAAGATCCCTAATTGAATTCCGCAAGAGGAAACCACCGCTACACTTTTTGTGCCGCAAGGATACGAACAGACGTTGCGCAGCTCGGCACTAATGAATTGAAAACTATGTTGACCTTTGGTCTTTTTTTCATATTTCTCAAGCATTTACGATCCCAGCTCCACCGAAGCCTTCCTCCCTCGTCTCTACTTCCGTCTCCACCTTCGCACCCGCCTCTGCCTCCCCACCCATTGCAACGACCCCTTCGCTGCCGGACCACCCAAACCGTTCGACCGGTGCCGGCGCACAGCAGCCATCGGTTGCCGCTCGAGCGATCGATTGGGCCGCGAGGCGGCGACAACACCGCCCGCCGCCCGGACCGACTCCCGTCACGGAACGCGACTCCGCCGATAACACGGCCTCGTGACCGAGCCAGGCGGCGACACAAACGGTGATTTGACGGTCAAGGGCGGGCGGCGGGGCGGGCAGACTATTTCGAGCTCACGGCCAACTATGGAATGTGTTTGCTTCTCATAAGGCGTGACTTAGCCCCATCGCTGTTCATGTTGAACCCCAATAAAATGCAATAGAGACCGTACCTAGAGCTGCGGCAGCCCCAATTAAGAACGGGAAAGTAAGGTACGGGCCAGCAAACAAATCGACTGAGTTGACGACCTCACGAGAAGAGTTACCGAAAGTCACCCTGTCGATCCAACCTTCATCGTACTTCATCGAGTTTCATTTCACTGTTATGCCTTTCCACCGTCGCCCCGACTGTGAATTCTCAAACTTCACTGTTCTAGCCGTAAAAACCCCTCTTTCGTCATCCACCGTATCGAGACAGTCGTTCAGATATCACCGGAAATGAGAGTAGGCGCTGAGAGGGCCTGCAATGAAGCTCGACTCTCTCTCTCTCCCCGGCGACTGCTCGTCGATCGACTGTGGACTACCATCGAGCGCCGGGAGGGCGAGCGGCCGCCGCTCTCTGTTTGCCCCCCGACCAGCCGTGGCACAGAACAAAGAAGCGCCGCCGCCGCATACACCGCCGCCATCGCTGTTACCAATAGCACCGCCGGCGGCCGGTACTGCGTGTGCCCCGACCGCGCACAGGCGCCGCCCCACTAGCACGGCCTCCTTATGACCAGCTGGAAAACAAACTGAGCCCGTTCAGGATTGCTCGGACAACAAATCGATCCATCGCTGATTGTCAGGCGGCACTACCATTACCACTGTTGTGGAATGGGCAATGTGCATCCCATCAGTGTTGAATGGGCCGGCGTAGGTCTGACCTCCTCAGCAGGCAGCGCGGCGCCGGGGGCGGTCGATACTCGATATAGTCGGACTCAAGGGGCCGGCATGTTCCTCTCCGCCCCACACTTCCAGCCGCCGCTGCAGCTGACGCCGCCGGCACTCGATGGAAGGACCAGCGACTCACGCACACCGAGACGGGTCGGAGGGACGCTCGCCGCGGCCGCCTCGTGGCCCGTAAAGGTCACGCAGAGGACCTTGGACGCCCCCGGCCGCCCACGGTCCAAGCTGGCCGCCATTCGCCGCGGCTCCTATCACATTCTACTCCTAAGGGTCGTTAGCCGGACGAGAGCGAAACAAAAATACCAAGACCGTTATCACATTACAAAAATAAGCAAACCTGACATTAAAACAGTGGACTTCCGAACATCTCCATAAACAAGCGGAACAAACTGCTGCAAACTCCGGGAAAAGATCGCGACCAGCCGCGCCATTCCGTCGGATCCTCTCGCCATATTTCTGTCCACGAGCGTGTGTCGCCATTAGCATGGCTCTCCGGTCGTGGTCGATCCATCCACACACACGTCGCCGGCCGGTCGGTCGATACAGGGAGATTGGAGAGCACCGGGCGGTCCGAGGGCCACGGACCCGCCGCCCGGCACACATCGACCGAACGGTAACCGGATCTGGCAGTCACGTGCCCGTGCACGGGAGCATCCGCTGAGAGGATGGCAGGGGGCGGGAAAAGATAGAAGTGCATCGAGATTCGGAGGCGACGATGCTATGCGAGTGTGGCGAGCGGGTATTTCACCAGATCCGTCGGACGAGCATCGCGCGCCGGAAGTCAAGTTTAAAGTGTCACAGCCCGCGGCTATATTTGACGCCAAACAGTCGTTGATGAGGGAAATATAATTTTTTACCAATAATGAGCATCATCTTGCAGCAAATGATTCGAAGGACTGTATCGCGGGATATTCAGTAAATTCATAACGCCACTCGCATGCTGCTGGTGTGGGTGTGTAGACATCCCCTTTAGTTGTGAAATTTCTAGCACAGTTCACAAAAAGGTGTTACGTAACCTAACAAGTTAACCAAGTTAACAGGTTTGGCCTTAGTCAGCAGCAGATGTCGTGAGCAGAACGGGCATCAGTCTCCAGTGGAGCATGCAACGATCCTGCACATTGCACAGTTGAATAAGCATCCCGGATAATAATTAATACGTAATGTCTTAAGCAGAACTATCGGAAACCGGTAAGTTACTGCAAGCTCAATATTTAAAAAATGAGGCAATAAGCATTGTTTATCTATGCATACAGTGGTCAGTTGTTATCTGTCATTTCCTTTCGGGTTTTGCAAGGATGACCGGAAGGGACAATCTACCCCGCCGCGCGCTGATACCGGCCAGTACACAGGATACGGGTCTGGTCAGGACGCAGGACACTGGTCCGGTGACTGAGCCCCGCTCCGTGTCAGGACGCGGGCGGCGCCCCCACTGACCGAGGCTCGCTGCGCGATGGCCGGGTGCCGCTGCCGCAGCCGGCGCTGCACGCTGTCCGCCGAGCGGTGTCGCGCCGGGGAGCGGGCCGGGGAGCGGGCTGCTGCCCCCGGCGCCGGCGGCCGCGCCGTCACAGGGGCCCGCTGCAGGACAGGACAGGGCGCAGGAGAGGCCGCGGCGCGAGGTCGGCCGTCAGACAACCGGCTGCAGGAGGGCACCGGAACGCGGAAACACCGGACACGGCGCGCACCGCGGCGCAGGAAAGGGGCACAAGGTCGGATTCACAGGTGGGGCGGGGGTACATCACTCTGCAATTTAGATAAGACAGCAAGGTACGCAGATTTACTGAGCACGCACCTCGGCACCAGGAACGATTGGGTGCACGATGAAATTGAGTTTATATTCTGTGATTGATACGATACAGCCTAGAGCAGCGATTCCAAAAAAGAGCATATTCCCATAATGTGCAATAGGTTACATACCTCCATGGGATCGTAAGAGTCGTCCTGGGGTGTGCTGGGGAGGGCATGGCCGCCACCACTGCCCTCGTCTTGCTCCAGAAGACGAGACACCTCGGGCAGCTCGAATCTGACGAAAAATAACAATCTTGCTTAAACATTTGGCAAAATATATGTTGCACTGCGACATCCAGCTTCATGACAGTTTCAACATTTTCGTCACGATGTGCATTACGATTAAGATTAGCCGTGGTCTAAGATAAGCTAAGTATTTCACAACACACGAGGCAGAATGGCCCCAAACACGTGAGCATGGCGAAACTGCTTAAATCCTCCCATACACTCAATGATTGAGCAACGGCATGGCTTGAGCTTCGTCCTTCAAACGAGAGGCGACTCGTTATCCGCAGCCAATTCGTTGCACAAGTGTTGGATTACCCCGATCAGAATTAAAGGTGCTGCTGAGTACGGCCAATCCGCTTCGTGCTGTTACTTAAAACTCGTTTTGAGATAGTATTACAAAAATATTGACGCAGTCAAACAAGAACCATACAAGCAATTTTTTGTGAAAGCCGTTTCGCAACTGAGCACACTGTGATTGATTTAGATCGCCAAAAAAATCGTTGTCTTGCTCGAAGACCGGAAAGTGGCCATTTGCAAAATAAAATCGAAAATTGTGTCAACGCAGTGTATCGTGCCAGCCGCTTCCAATGCGAAGATAAAATTACATGCCAAAAGCATGGACGAGAGATGTGGATGGACGCATCTCTCTTAAGGCCTGGCTACACTATGCGTTTTCTGCGTGCGTTTTTGCAAGTTTGCGTGTTTTGCGTAATATCGTTCTAGGAAAAAAGTTATAAACAATATAATTTTTACTTTGGTTATATACAAAAGCTAATATAACTCTTATGTAACTAAAATTTAAGGTGAAAAACATCACAAAAACGTAATATCGTTCTTTTTTCTAGAACGATATCACGCAAAACACGCAAACACGCAAAAAACGCACGAAGAAAACGCATAGTGTAGCCAGGCCTTAACTCATGTGAGAGGCCAAAACAGTCAAAAGCAAGGTTCCAAGTGGTCATAAACACTATTGATGGGCGAAAATATCATTCATTCAAATGCAAAAGTTGGGAGTAAGATCGAACAGGAAAAATGCCTGTAATGATGGATAATGGACCCCCCCCCCCCCCCCCCAGGGGCCGCGCAGTGGTCAGTCGTTTCTAAAGCATCTTAAAAGAAAAAGGGAATCAATAATGTTCATTCATTCATTTAACTGTATATTTTCCCTTATGGATGAAACACTGCAGCAGACAGCACCCACTCTGCGCTTAAGATGCACTTTTCGATAGGACAATCGAATGGAGATAAAAAGTAATCGAAGCCGCGATATTCGCCCAATGTTTTCCGGTTGCTCTTCTCCATCCAAACAGCGCCTGTTTCCGAATTCATTGCCATTACTACGCCTGAATGCTCGGACTGCATTAACCGCGAGCATGCCTGGCTGGCGATGGCCAGGACCCGCTAAATTACTCCATGACTGGCGAATAAGTTCCCAGGAGACCCACTTGCACTGGCCCGAACGGCTGCACGCGGGGCAATACGTGAAGCGGTGCCGGCGCGACTGCACTGTGCCGAGGTTCGCACTGCCGCCGGCCTCCCCCGCCCACCGACAATACGGGGTCAGCACGCAAACGGGACGGCCGACGCAGTGGTAACGGGATAAACAGCGCTGCACGGCTCCCATGGCCAGCGCGGTCACCAGCGCGCTGTATGTGCAGCACTCATGAAAGGTAAATAAATGAAGCAGTCGTTTAAACTACACTGTACAAGCAAAGAAAGCATCGTTTGCACCGACACTATATGTACATGCAAGATATCGCGTCCGGCCAGAACAGGGGAAAACAAATGTCAAATGTCAAACTCGGACCAAATGGAACGGAAAGTAAGACAGGTCAACAAAAAAAAGATAGACATTCTCAGATAACCTAGGCCTCCTGAATATCTGGCTATGTGCGCAATGAAGCACATTCAATAAAATATGTGTCAAAGGCGAAGCTGCAAAGAAGAAGGGGAAATGCGAGTCTTCTTTACTGTATTCCTGGGCATCGAACGAAACAAAACAATACAGAGCGTTCAAGTCGATATCCCCCCCCCCCCCCAGCCCTACGCATCAGTTCGGTCTTCAGTCACAGCAGTCCAATCATAGTCCAGATACATTGAGTCATATAGCAAGTAATCTTACCCGAGATAGCCAAGTAATCAGGTTTTCCCAGCCGCCAGCGAGAGCACCTACCTACCTTACTTCCATTTCCACTTCACGAACCCGAGAAAGCACATCGGGCGCTGGCGGACTTTGCCAGAACACCTTTTTGCCAAAGACAGACGAGTGAGCCTTGTGCTTTGAACCGACCTTTGGTTCAAGGTCGAGTGACCGACCTTTGGTTCAAGGCACAATGTTCACTTCACGTCACTTCCATTGAAAATCCCAGTGTCATTGAGCTGTCGAAGACCACCGCTCTGTTTCAATGCTCACGAGAATAGCGCCGTCCATATTCGAACAAATAGGTACATTTGGTGATCATTTAACACCTTTTGTCACATGGCGTGAGTCGACGGTTCAAACCACGGCGAATATCACGAGGGCAGATGAATCCCCCGGCGAAACTTGACCACTAATCAGATATTACAGGAGGGCAGTATACTAAGGTCACGCTGGCCTCTGTTACTCCGGCACCACGCCCCAATCGCCCGTACTACGCCTCCCCACGCATCTGGACACGAAACCGGTTCCAGCATTCTGACAGCAGCGAATCTCAAGATCCCGACCGACCTTTGGATTCAATCCCACCACCGCCCACAATCTTCTCCACCGGCACACCACGAAGACCAGTATTAGCCTACGTCACTACCTTCTGTTTTAGTTCGGCGGCTCGCGGCGAGGGCGAACTTTACACCCCGGACAATCTCCGAGCCCCGGCGCATGCTGTTACACAACGAGTATACAACCGCTGTGGTCGGGACTGTTCCGAGAACTTTGGACTCGGTGCTAAAACGGTCCACCTCCGTGTTCGTGATCGCGGTCTGCGCGGACGGGAGCGTGACAGCTGATTGAAAACGTTACCTACCAGTGCTGAGCTAAACAGGGCATGCCAGAAACAATGGCTGAATGTCAAGCGGTTCAACAAATCAGTCGTGTGATATATTTGGCAAAAGCAGGGAGCTTTGAGCGACTTACAGCAGGTTATTGACAGCAGAATTACAAGAAATCTGGTAAAACTAGCTAGACATTTGAAATAACACGGTCCACGGATTTCTCAGTCAATACAGCCCTCGGTATCAACCGACAACTAGTATGTGAATCTCAATCTCCCACCACAATCTTATCTAGCGCATCTTTGAACGCGGTCACCGCTCGCATTAAAACCCAACGAAGCCGCTCATGACTCCCCAGCTCCTAAGCCGCTGGGCACTGACCGACAGCCGTCAGTCGCTGACGCGGCGAGTCCGCGCCCGTTCCGGTGCGCCACCCTCGCCGCCACCGCGCCGCGCTCGTCACCGCCGCGCCGCACGGCCGTTGCACCCGGCGCTGAGGTCACGGGGCGCCGCGCAGACATGAGCGAGTCGACACGGGCCATCAACCGGCCGGCCGCCCCGCGCGCTCACACATTACACATTAATGCCCGCGCCCGCCTCGGAGCGAGACGGCCCAACTGCAGGCGAACTTTTGGTCTGCGCTGCAGGCAATGTGAACTCCGCACCAATGGTTAATGTGATCGCGAATTCAACCAGACAAATCGATTATTCACGCATCGTAATGGAAACTACGAAAATGTTCGGAAACTGTAACCATCGGATAAGCCTATGATATCTTCAGCAAAGCCCCATCGTAGGTAGCTAATAAATTGTTTACTCGAAGCCTCAGCTCAAGCCTCAGTCCCCGACACCGACAATGTCTGCTCTCCACCCAGCTTCAATATGAGCACGATCCATAGCCAGCACCAATCAACCAAGGCATGCCAACCCTGCCCCAGGATCAAATACCGCGAACCAGTCCTAGCCGGACAGACTACAAGTCACATCATTCCCCCCCCCCCCCCCTCTTCCTCCTCAGCCCTCGCCGATTTCACGGCTCGATCTGAATAATGAAATGCAGGCACTCTCGGTGACTGGCCGCGCTAACGGTATATTTCCTTACACGGCAATCCACTGGAACATTCCCCGTGTTACGGAAACTTGGCGTTTGACCGACAAATGAAGAGGTGGGATCAAGTGCGGTAAAGAAACAATCAAGCCACTTACTGATAAAGAAGGATAACCTAAAGAAACCTAAAGAACAAGCCACTTGCTGATCACCACAACACCTATTTGAAAACATCACTGTGCTTTCTAGAAATGCCTTCGCAAACCTCGAATAACCGTGGAAACTGACAATCGCAACAAACTGTGGTTGCGACGATTATCGCTATCTCCACTTATTCACATTGAAAACATGCCAAAATAATCGCTGAAAACAATCTTAGCATTTAACAGCAAGGGCTAACACATGCAACAAAAGCCCATCCAACCCGCCTGCTGTGCCCTGCTGCCCCTCACCTGTCCAGCTCGGAGAACTGGGAGAACTCGGAGACTCGCCGCCGGTGACAGCGCGGCACCGTCTCGGGGCCCACCGGCGCGTACTCGATCACATCCTCAGGACTGGCCATGGTGACTCGATGTCGCTGCGGGGAGACACACTGTCAGGATGGGCACAGCAAGTGTGACTTGTGCTGGGGCATGGGGAGGTGCTGCCCTGCAGGCTAAAAGTCACTGTGGTATAGCTATCACTAGACTCAGGGTTGAAAAATAATACTGTACACATACAAATGACAAGTAAGTAGTAACTCAAGATATAGGTACTGTCAGATCTTGGAACCAGAACTTTCATTCTAGACTAAGCTACAAATAGTAAGCCTGTAAGGTATTGCCTCTGAAAAGCCAAAAAGCCCAACTACAGACAAAACCCAACAATCAACACCTGTGCAGTGTGCTTTCCATATGGCATCTTCAGACAATACTATGAACCATACTAGGAGTATGGGTAGATATTACATTAAATGTGATAATATGACAAGGAAGTGTAGGTCAAAAGACCAGTGTTTTCTACTGACAATAAAGAAGAACTGTGATGCACCCTATATGATCAGCTTGTACATTATGTGTACAACAACAAGCAGTAAAAATAGGCAAATGAAATGAACTCATTAAAAAGTTTTAACAAGGCATGTGCATTCTCAGACTCTATTTCCTAATACCTGTTTGCTGCTAAGATAAAATAAAAACATGAAACAAAAATTATGGTCTCCTATATAAGATCAAGCTAAAACACTTCTGTCAACTCTGCATAGCTCCCAATTGACTTGAGCCTGAAGCAGACACTTAGATTGATAAGTTGATTAATTCAGTAATGTCGCATGGCGTGTGAAAACATTAACAATGGGATATGAATAATGGTGCAGATCGACATACCGTCCAAAAGGTGTTTTGGCATCAATTGTTCCAATGTTTGAGCATTAAGTGTTACAGTTAACTGGCAGAAAATGTTAATTGTTGGTCAACAGCAATGTAGCATGTTATGATACTTATTCATTTCATTTGACAATTAAAATGCTAGAGAAAGTTTGTAGGTATCTCCAAGCGTGTTCGGAAGTGAGGGTGAGGGCTTTAAAGGCTATTTTCTTGATAATATTGGCAAGTTTCAGGAATTCCTCCTAAAGAACAATTAAGCAAGTTAAGCTCAAAGTTAGGTAAATTGAAATGTCAAGAGGTAGGTACACCTAACACAAGAATACTAGAACAATGATACTTTCACAAATCAGTTGGTGACATACCAGGGAAATAAGCTAAAATTAGAGCGCTCTATTTATTGCTCCTGCCCCATGTTGAAGAGATACCCCTAAAAGCGTGATCTTTTATCGGCCCTTACGCAGCAAGGCAGTAATTCTCAGACCGGTGGATGGTATCAATAGAAAGAGAATGCGTCAAAGATTAACATGAATTAATTAAAATAACATTAAAATGTTAATTAAGCGTGGAAATAAGTCCCAAACATAAGCTAATTATTGCTCCTACCTCGGCGACGGCGCTCCCCGCAGTCGGCGGAGAAGCTAAAATAAAAGCCACCATCCTCCTCCGTAAGTCAATTTTAGAGCGGCCGAGTGGGCCGATGCGGGGCCACCAAACTGAGGTGAGACGTGGCTAGTAATTGCAAACCGCCATAGAAATCAATATCTTAAGACGTACCATATGGGATGATTACTCTGAAGCTGGAGTGAAAGCATGAGTAGATTGCAAGAAACGAAATGCATAGATTGGTTGAATTATGTACAATAGGCACAGCTCAGATGAAGCCATTTCTATGATGTTGATATATGACATAACCCTTCCTCTCCTCACCTATGACCTAAGTGCATTGGCAGTTACCGGCAGTTTTTGAGCACGAGTGTAATTCGCCATCGGACCGCAATACATGTTGCCAGGCTGCTGCAATTACAACGAACATACGAATAATGCCTTCATTTGTAGGCGTTTGTTTTTTAGGCGGTCTTTGACGTGCAAGGGGGGCGGGGGCATACCTGTCGACAACTTGAGTTTCTCCGAATTTCAAAAACTCCCAGAATTTCAATTCCTTATGCACTGTTGTAGGTACAGCTATGTTCACAAGTTTTCGTTTCCTCCTGTTCTAAAAAGGATGATATTTGTCGATTTCGTGCGTCGCTGATAGGAGGGTGCGTTTAATAATTAGGCCCAACGCTTTCTGCATCCGCGAGTACCTTCAAAAGGGAACAACAGTTTCCATTTATTACACTATGGGACATGTGACAAAATGACCACTGGAACACGCATGAAACGGAGCTCATATTCCTAAAAATGTCTACAATCACTTCTTTTCTGACACTATTAGCAAATACCATCTCAAGTTAGGTGGTTGACAGACAGTTAATGCCTAATGGAGATCTGGGGAGACTGAGTGATGCCAATTCACCACTTAACTGATAATGAGGGCCGAGGGAAGAGAAACATGCAACATGCACAACTGACAACTTGACAAGTGACAAAACACTACCACTATTGTGCAGTGCAGTGTGCACAACAAATTACAGCAGCCAGCCCAAAAATGCTTTTGGTGGCTAATTGCAAACAAGTCACTAAAAAATGTCTTAGTTGCAGCTGAACACTGCACAATAATCACACTGTTCACACATTGAGTGAGATGCCACAGGTGGTTTGAATCACACTTTGGTTCAACTGCAAATCTGAAGTGTTGTCATGAGGTTCATGCCTCCATGATCACAGCACTTTGGTTGTGGTTGGCATAACACTTGTAGTCTGCAGAGTTCCACATGAACTGCAGACACCTCATCTGGTGGTCTTCATGTTGCTCAACTTCTTCAGGAGGCAAATGTCGACCACCCAGCGGAAGCATGGCCCTGCAGAAAAGAAAGGTAATGCATAAGGTACAAACATTATCTGCTGAAACAGCTCCTTCTGTTGGCTGTTATTAAACTTTTAACATAGGTAACATAACAACATGTATTCCATGTATATTACATTTGTTGAAGTAAAATACTGCCGGCTATTTCAAAACCAGAAAATGAAATTATATTGTGGCATAATTCACCTGCTCAGCTATCAGTATCAAATAATAATTAATTTAATATTTGGCATATTCTATATAACACATTCATAGAATATTATGCTTCACGTTACAAGGACTCACAATCTTTCTGTTGGGTGTTTGATTGACGCATTAACTGAGTTTGTCTTAGGTTTTATTATTGCAAAAAATTCATATTGCATTATTGTATCAAAATACTGCCAGCAATAACAAAACAAGAACATGAAATGCCAATGAGCAAGCCGCCATTCCTTAAAATGGATTACTTTGAAAGGAATTTTAGTTTCTTTTAAGGAAAAGGAGAAATGATTATCAGGTAATTATCAGAAAATCACTCAACCTGCAAGTGGCTGGGTGGTTTCACAGCAAACATCAAGCCAAAACATATACTTACATCTATCTAACAATTGAGCCATTTGACTACTACAAGGATATGTGAGCAAAATAAGAATCCAATTATCCAATGTTGACTTCCTTGCAAAGTTTATGCCTTATTTTATGAAAATGTGTCACTAGAATATGATACTTATCATCGAATATTATTTAATTTACGATTTATTTCGATCGGAATGCACATGGAGTCCCGCGCCATTTTCGTCGACGATGAATATGATCGTGTTTCATGAAGAGATAAGGGGTTTCAATGGTCTTTCAAAGCAATAATTTGATGCAAAAATGTGTAGGAAATAATATGAAGCTGGTTCAAATGGCCATCAACCATTTAAAACACCGAAAATACTCACAACTCCGTCCCGACGACCACGCAGCACCGCGAACGCCACACTACTGGCACAATGCCAAAACTGCTGTCACAGCGGAAATGTTTTTTTTTCTCGATTGCAATTGTGGAATTATTAATTAAACAGAAGATGATCTTTCCGAAAAACCGACTCATTTCATACACAGATGCATGGAAAATAAAAAAATCCCGGTAAGTTTATTTGTATTGTTTTGTCGATTTTGACATGCTCCTAGTTTGCAGCCATATTTCGATATGTTCTACAGGGAGTTCAGAATTATTTCAGGACCAATCTTTTCCTCATTCATTTTCCCGTCGATCATGAAATTTTTAGAGCGGAACAATTGGTTTCCAGGCGGTCCGAGCGATTTTCGTGAGAAGGGTGCAAAAATCGGCGTCATTTTTAGAGCCTCGACACCAGCTCAACACAGGACCCTATGGGAGACGGTGAAGTAGCGGGAGCAATAAATAGAGCACTCTAATTTTAGCTTATTTCCCTGGTGTGTCACCGACTGAAATACACAGATTCTAACTTGAATGTAACCAGGTGAAACACCATTAAACCTCTCAGATAGCAACAAATCATTAATCCTTATGAGTATTAACGAATAACAGAGCAACAGCAAATGAAATTGCTTTCAGGAAATAGCAGCAATATATCATTGGCCTGAGGTTTATATAGCCTTGGCCTGAGCTGTTGCGTTCTTTGGCTACTCACATGCCAATGACTTTCTTAGCAGCAGGAAAACACCAAGCCCTATAAACAGCCTTGCCCAACCCAGCAAAACACACAGAACAAAATTGCAACAAAGGAACAATCCAGAATACCAAAGGGGAGCTACGCCGCAACCGACCTCGGCGCCCGAACGACAACAAATGACGCAAGAAAGTTGTCAATACTTCCAAGGTTTGGTAAAAGAACAGCTGATTGGTATGGCACTAAAGCGCAGACAAATATATGGGACGCAATGCACGGCTGAAAAAAAAAAATTGTATTTCTGTACAAATGAGATTTAAGATTGAATAAAATGAGCTTATATTAGGAAAACAAATTGTAAAGTGACCAGATCCTTATTTGATGATAAGCCTCCTGTGGAAGCTGCTTGTGATGTCCATCATTATGCTTCGCAGTTCGCGGCTGACGGACTGACACGAGGCCATGTATCGGGCTGACAACCAATTCTTGCGTTTGATCGCTTTCCTGGGTAATAGGATGGGATGATACGATATGAGGACGAGGTCTCAGCTATCCCTAAATGGCTGCAGTGGTTTACAGCGTGCCACCGGGACTCAGGCGAGACTGGCTGAGACAGGCCACCGAATCATCTATGCACAGTGCACACTGCACACCTACCCAGTCGCTGAAACGGTCACCCATCTCGGAAGAACATGCTCCTATAGGCAATAGCTATCTTTGGCTTTCCCTGGTTGTCTGCGACATCATCATGCATTTGTGCGACCATCAAAGAGCTGCTTCTGAAAACTCACTGGACTTGATTAGCGATCTAAATCAGACTTGCGGACATATACCTATGTTGGAAATGATGCCTCCAACTCTTCAAACGATATGTTTAAACGATTTGTGTCTCTTGACTTGTTCGTTGGTTGTTCCGATGTCCAACTGAGCCGAGCCGGGACTCTGGAGAACTACCGCTGTTCGCTTAGCCCAGCGGCCAGCAGACGTAAAAAGACGGAAACAGGGCGTGGCGATAATTCATGTATTTTCGTCAACACATTAAAACCGGCACAGGTCGTGAGTAAACAATTTTATATTTTAGGATGATCCGATGTGATGAAGCAAAAAAACATACTTTATTTTTTCTTCGTGGTTATTGTAAAGTGTCCGCTCATGTCCCGGGGACAATCTTAAGATGTTAATATGTAGGCATGGGTGGAGAATGTTTGAAAAAGTTACCCCGGCCGGCGACCGATAGTCGGAAAGACGACTAAGCTCACGTTGTTGTCAACGATCATCATAAACAAACCCCTATTCTGACCCATGGAAATGGAATAATGGACGTTGTGTTTGTTCAAGGGTGAGCGTTGTATCCGACATTGTATCATTCATAACATTGTTGGCGATGATTGAAAAGGCGATTTTCTTTTAAGTGATTTTTTTACCTAAACTTATGCAATTTCACAATATATCCTATCATGACTCATTATGAGTAGGTAAATGTTGCGTTTTCAGCTTTTTATTGTGTCTCAAAATAGCTACAAAAAGATGACAGCTCACCTCGTAGGAGCTTTACAGAGAAAACTGAACGTTCGAACCAAAGCACTAAAATGGGTCACTGACATCCAGGGACACAGTCTTTTTCAATGTTGGGTGGCTCAACCTCTTATAAGACAAACAGGGAGTCTATCCAGGGATATCGACCGGTCCCGGTCTCGTAGCTCAATCGCTTGAGCGTTGGACTCCGCGTGGCGAGAGCACGTGTTCCGGTTACAACAGTCCGAGCTCGAAGCGTGACGGACGCTCGATGTATGAGTATCCTGACGGCTACGCCCTGACGGCATGGTTGCGGTTTGTGGCAGGCCAGTCGAAGGCAGTGAGGACAAGCAGTGGTTCTAAAAAAGTGCGCCGAAGGCGCGCCAAATTTTCGAAACTGAACACGATTTGAGAGCAATCTTGGCATTGGCAACCACACGCGGGTCCTAGGGCTCAACGCCACCGGCCACCGCATGGTAAGTTTAGTACCTAAATAGTGTAAATACCTTCCTGATTTGCAGTATTACGCCCATGGCAGTCGACATCCGAAAAACGACAGTTTTCTTTTCTCGTATGGCGACAGCTTTTAGGATTTACAAGAGTGGAAGAGTTACCCCGGCCGCGCCGGGGTAGGCTGAAAGTTACCCCGGCCACGGCCGGGGTGGCCGGGGCAGATTCTCCACCCATGTATGTAGGTACCTACCTAGGTATCAAGCAGATATAATATTGGCACCTAGCTATGCTGTCACAGAATATGTTTCTTGACTATGAGTTGCCTTTTATTGCCGCAATGGGTTCCTACCTATATTTGCTTGAACAAGCCATCGTCACTACCCAATTGGCGCATGGGATACGTAAGCTCGGCAAGACTCCACGGACCAGACGCCTTCTTAATAATATGGATTAGCCCTAGGGTGGCGTGACGACCACGTCACTCGGAGGAGCCGTGAGCGAGTCGCACACCATGTTGGTCAGTCTGGTGCCGCTGTGGCTCATCCTGAGCAGCTGGCCGGTGCCCAGGTTGGAGGGCAGCACGAGCCGCGAGCCACTGCTGCCGGTGATGTAGTCGGTGATATCAAACGCCAGGTCTGTGTCGTCGGGGTTGCGGGCCCGCCGTTCACCGTTAATATCCCTGTATGTGACGCCGATAAACTCGATAGACATGGGGCGCGCCGTGTCCGCCCACAGGAAGTCGAGCTGGGCCTGCGTGTGGAGACTGGCCAGGTCGGCGCCCGACATCAGGTCCTGGCAGTGCGTGCGCGCGTCGTCGTAGCTCAGAACCGTGGTGGAGGTGGCGTGCCAGTAGTATCGGCCGTCCACAGCGGTGCTGGACGGAGGGGTGGTCGCCGCAGAGGTGCTGGACAGCGGAGTGGTCGTCGCAGCGGCCGCCGGACGGTAGAGCGTCAGCTGCGGCGCGTCACTGGGCGGCTGCCCGCCGTCCGCAGTCGACTCGGCCAGCCTGCAGAGACGGTCGGTGCTCTCCCAGCTCAGCTGGCCGCAGGAGGGGTGGGCCGCACAGCGGGCCGAGCAGCTGACCAGAGAGGGCGCCGGCACCTGGTGGATCCAGCTGACCGGCTCCAGGTCCCGCTGACGGTCGAACCGCTCGGCTCCGAGCGCGACGGACGTCAGCAGCAGCAGAGAGGCCGCCGCGGAACGCATGACGTCCGGCGGCGGTACCGAGTGCTCGCACCGACACTCTGCAACGACACTCTTCACCGGACTCACGGAAACTACCGACAAATGAATGACGCACGACTTCGAGACGTGCGGTATATCAACTTCTGCCAAACCTCGGCACCTCAGCTTCACGCTCACGGCAGGATGAATGATACTGGCAACTTTCTCTGTGCTCTGACCTTATCATCCACTTGCAATTACACCAGCACTCATGCAGCTCGATCCACTTTTGTCGGCACTGCCCGATCAATGCTCGTCAATATTTCGTTTCGATCGTCGGTCGAAAGCTGACTAATTATCTCTCGTTGTAGTCACAACTCACAAGCCTTCTGTTCTAGAGTACGCTCCATGTTTCTGCCGTCTGACGCCGGTCGGTCCTTGGGGACTTCTGAGGCGGTGCTTGTTTTGACTGATATAACCTTTCTTCGAACGGTCACCATGCGACGAACCCCTCAGCCAATATCTTTGAAATCGTACTTCGTTAATGGTATGAAGCCTAATTGCTGCAATTTCTTATTAGACTTCAATCGGTCTGATTGAGGCAATACACCATTCTGACTAGATTGGTGCAATTTGTGCATGCCACTGCATCCGAATGGCTGCGACTGATATATGCGTTATTTGAGGACAGTAGGTATACCGGAAATGAATGGCTATGGAATGCAGCTCAGTCACAGCCTTTCCAGCATACCTATATCTCGCACGTATAGGCCGGTTTGTTAAAGGGACCCTCCCACCTTAACATTAGTTTTGAGTTGAGATAGCCAAATTGGTGGCCATGGCCTGAAAATACCGGTTTGGGCATTCACAACATCGAAAAATGCTTTAATTCGGAGATATGGAATTTCAAACTTGCAGTTTTCGGATTCTAAGGGGCTAATGCATTGGTATGCCCCCTTCGAATTTGTGACGTCAGCGGAGATCTAACGATTTTTAAATCTTTTACTAAAACGTTTGGCAGCACGCGGTGGTATATGCTGCTTTACGCGCAACAAATGCCGCACTTTCAAATAAAGTCGCTAGGAACAGCGGAGATCTCAAAAAGTAAACAAAAGTAAAAGTCTAATATCTTGAAAACCGGTGAATATTTTTCGATGAAATTTGGTAGATATTCATTTTTGCTCTTTCTGAACCGAGCGACATCACTTTCATGCCAATTCATTAACTTTTTTGAAGGTGGGAGGGTCCCTTTAACAAGACAAATTAGTGTCGCAGAGTTCAAAACAATAGTGTGCATTGAAACCATTTGGATGTCGACATGGAACAAAGCCCTAGGTACCGTGTCCGTGACTATGCAGCTAATCGAAATTCATTAGGTACGGGGAGTGGAATGATGGCTCTACCCGATGTGGGCTCAGCAATGAGTGATGCGACTTGGTCACTCAGCCGATCCCGTGTTGACATTTTGTGACTGACAAAGGTAAGCATGAGCAGCTTAAAATCGGAGGATCATAGGCTAACTTAAAATACGCATAGAGCTGAGTATCTTATGGAATGAGCGGAAATATCCCATTCCGGTGTCGGCTTCCTGTGACCTGCTGCTAGCGCCTAGCTGGTACAAGAAGGGAGAGAGCAGGAATACGCTCGTGTGCCTACATGATAGGTACATCATCTATGCACCCACGGTAGAATTTGCAATCGAACGGCTAATTAGTGTACGGGCAATGGCCCCTTTGCACAATGCACATGCCCCCGGGGCTTGACCTACGGTGCCTATGTGCATGTGGTGCTGTGGGGCTGTTCACCACATATCAGTGACTGGGTTTTACGCAGGCGCACCACATGCATGACAAGAAGCAGACACTCAACCATCGACTGCAACAGGCTCCACACTTTGCGATTGCTCCGTTTCCACTGCTGGGCTGGGGCCACCCGTCGTGTATGTAAATGCTCTTCTCTTGCGGCTTCGATCCTCCGTTCCGTCGTTTCCGTCCTCAGGGTACTGAACTCTTTCTCCTCCACGTGCTGCAACTCCCACATCGGGTTGGAGAGGCACCTTAACCCTCGCCCGTATAGGGGGGGGGGGGGTCGACCGGACCCCCCATGGTTTTTCGCGAATAACTCGCGTAAAAAGCGGCCGATCGCGACGAAACTTTCAGTACCCTCGCGTTCATCAATTTCACACCTACCCTGAAAATTTCATGACCCTGACCCAAATGACCTTTGACCTGTGACGTACTTTTCGAGACCATGTTTGGCTGGAATCGCGATTCGGCGTATGTCGGCTCGCATTAGCCGCGCGTTTGCAGTCTTTTCGTGGTTTCAAGCGTTCAAACATGTGATATGATGTTGCCCCCATGCATTAGGGTGGGTGTCAAGGTCACCGGAAGGTCAGGTCAGGTAATTGACCTTTGATGACCTCGGTTCACTTTTTCGAGTTTTACATGTTTCTATGTATGTATGTATGTATGTATTGACACCAAAAGCCTTCCACATATGGCGTGGCGATTACGGCTTCTAGGCCAGTTTTTGGAGCTGAATTCGAATTTAGCAACCATATGAACATTTACGAAGTAGTTTTGGTGCCTTCGTAACATGTTACGAAGCTGTCAGAGGCGGTTGCCACCTACTACGAATACCCTTACTGGTTGACCTGACCTGACCTGACCTGACCCGACCTGGCGTAAATACATGAAGACATCATCTGTGATCAAAACTAACATGATATTCGTGATCAGCACCCCGAAAAACCTCATAGCAGCGACACTTTACGACGTTCTAACAGGTCCCGATTTTCCCGCCTTTAGGGTCATTGACCTGACCTGCAAGGTCAACCAATAACCTAGGACCTTAAAATTGGGTATCATCGGCTTCCTCTCGTCATGGGCAGCACGCTCGTTTTTTCCGCGAAGCTCTAGCTCGATCACGGGCGAAACGGCAAGGGGGGAGGTCCAACGGACCCCCCCCCCCTTATACGTTCGCGGCTGGAAAAACACCAATACGGGCGAGGGGGACCCTCCCACCTTCAAAAAAGTTAATGAATTGGCATGTTAGTGATGTCGCTCGGTTCAGAAAGAGCAAAAATGAATATCTACCAAATATCATCGAAAAATATTCACCGGTTTTCAAGATATTAGACTTTTACTTTTGTTTACTTTTTGGGATCTCCGCTGTTCCTAGCGACTTTATTTGAAAGTGCGGCATTTGTTGCGCGCAAAGCAGCATATACCACCGCGTGCTGCCAAACGTTTTAGTAAAAGATTTAAAAATCGTTAGATCTCCGCTGACGTCACAAATTCTAAGGGGGCATACCAATGCATTAGCCCCTTAGAATCCGAAAACTGCAAGTTTGAAATTCCATATCTCCGAATCAAAGCATTTTTCGATGTTGTGAATGCCCAAACCGGTATTTTCAGGCCATGGCCACCAATTTGGCTATCTCAACTCAAAACTAATGTTAAGGTGGGAGGGTCCCTTTAATCTTATGCAGGCTGCTCCCTTGGAGCGGCACTGCTGCCCCCGAGGGAGCGCACCCCGTAGCCGGGTGCAGAGAGTGCTTCGGGGGCTGGTCGGCCTGTCCAGTTGGACGGGCTCAGCCCCGGCGACTCTCTAGGGTATCTGCCCAGCCCCAGACCAGTGTCTCCCCCTAATTCCTATCATCCTTCCGACTCTGAAATGGACTTGTCAGACCGAAAGCCGGCCTAACCCAACAAAACACCAAACAAGGCGTTTTCGATTCAGCGTCATGCACTTTTGTCATTTTGTGTTATCCGGTGCAGCATGACTCAGGCGTTACCTGCTGCTGCCACCTATCGGGGTTCAAGTCTTGCGATTTGAATTTCTATTTATAGTCACCGTGGTTTTGCCATTCATCAAATTTAAAGCTTATTTTTCAATTTCAATAAAATAGAACTTGTGCTATAATATGCTTTTGTACTGAATTTGTAGTGATTCCATTCGAAAAAGTTGAGTACCGTATACAAAAACAGCGCAGTTTAGCCATTTAAGAACTTTCATTTGTGTTCATTTTTCAGTTCGTAGTGAAAGAAAACAGAATGCACCATGAATGCACGTATAACTTGCGTATAACATACACTATAAGCAAAAGCGAGCGCAAAGCGAGCGTATCGGATAGAATACTATTAAAAAGTTGTCTTCGTTCACCGGTCGCCAAGTGCAAGGCCGTATCATCAGTATAGCCATAGTGTAGCCATTGTATAGCCATAGTATAGTGTTTTTATATACCTTGAGTATAGCCAGGTGGCGCATCGGACAAAGATAGTGTGTATTTTTTGGTGTTTCAAGATATTCTCCTTGTGTTGCATTATTAGCTTCCCAATAAATTATTAAAATGTCTGAGAAACTAAAGGAAATGCGGGAAAAGTCTCAGAGGAGGAGGCAGCTCCTGGCTCAGCAGGTAGGTGCTTCATGTTTTAATTTTGTGTTTCTTGCGGCTCTGTAATACCTGGCCTGTCTTCTATTCCTAGACAATATAGATATTTGATAAGTATTCAATTAAACAGTTATATATTGTGCTTTATACAAGCTTGTTTACATGAAAGCATTTTATATCCCATGGTACTTATAGTTTTCTTGCTAAGCTTTGATAAGCTTTTACACAACTAGAATGTCAGAGACAGCTATTAAAAGTCACCTGAAAACTGAGGGCTGTTCATGGGCCCTGTGTGCGGTCGGACCGCACACAGCCTCCAATCTCCGCCCACTGCATCCCTACGTCAGCCTTCCGTCACCGCACACAGCGACCGCTGTGGCCGGTTGGGACCGGCCACAGTGGACCGTCCACTGCACGCAGCCGTGACATCAGAGCTGCCTACCCATCCCCTACCCCCACGCTGCTGGACGCACCGCACACCCCGCACGCAGCAGTGTGCGGTGCCCGTGAACACCCCTCTGAATAGCTGAGTTCATTGCTTAGCTTTTTTATTTCATCCATATGCTTGACATCTCTTTTACTCAGGAAAAAGTCACTCAGGATTTTCAAACTCAGGTTTTTCTGAGATATGGGAAAGATGAGATATATTAGTTAAATCAATTGAATATTGTTATTGCATCAGGTGTGAATAACATAACTTGAATGAGTTTTAAATTTTGGAGACACATTATGACCTTCAGCTTTGGTCTTGTTGCTTCTGATATTCCTCTAGCTCCTGCAACGGAATATGTCATTCAGTGGGAGCCTGGGCCATAGCGAGCATATCAGGCATATTGCTGCACTTGATGCATGACATGTCTGATGTTGGATGGTTGGTTACTTATGGAAGGGAGTAGCCATAGTCAGTTGAAGTCTGGGCGAGTTGAGATTGTGTCCCGCTTGTGATTTCTTCAGCAGATTTTGTTTAGGCTCTTTAGGGAATTCAAACTAGCTCTAATATTGAAAATATTCTTCAGTGTACCTATGAGATCTATTTTTTATTCCTTAAAAAACATTTGCATTGTGCTCATGATGCTTAGGTAGTGCAATGCGATCAGCGATGTATTCAAATGTTCTTGCTTTAGCTTTGACAATCAGGTTAAAGGCAAGAAGGTGCTTCATGATTATTGTTTTTGTTTCAGCTTGGAGTCTCCAGCCCACAAAATTTGGGCAAGGTTCTAGGAAGTACCTCATCATCAGAGAAGCCAAATGAGGAGAAGAAAGAGGAGCCAGAGGCAAAGAAGGCCAAAAGTGATGAAAGTGACACAGCTGAAGAAATGGTGTATACTGATTCTTCAGCCTTCCTCAAGGTACCAGCAGTTGTAATTTGCTGCTGTTCAAGTTCTTGGACATACTTGCGTGAACATCATTCTCATGTCTTAAATGCAAGAAATGACCACCCTGCTTTTGTTAGTCCCCATAATTTACACCCATGACAGACACCAGGTAACAACTCTCTAGTCACTTCCCTCATATCCTCTCAGCGGCTTACTTCGATTACCTATTGTCTCACAGCTGATTTGGCATGTTGCTTAATGCTTGGCCATTTGCGCTATGAACATCCTTTTTGCCACTTACACTTTTGCCACTTTTGCCACTTACTTGTTTGAAAATGAAACTGGGCCCCCACTCACTGGTCTCCGTCATTTCTGCATCTTCTCAGGGCACTCAGTCAGCCAACCCGCACAACGACTACTGCCAGCACTTTGTCGACACCGGCCAGCGGCCGCAGAACTTCATCAGGGACGTCGGACTCGAGGACCGCTTTGAAGAGTACCCGAAGCTGAGGGAGCTCATCAAACTGAAGGTGGGTACGATATTCTGCGAAAATCAATTCGGAAATGTCTGTAAAAGACGGTAGGGACAAAAGTATGTTAGATTTTAGACATAAGATGCAAAGATATGTGGAATTTGTGAGTAGTGAGTAGCCTTCTCCAATTAGATATATAGTCACCTCTCCTAGAATATACCTTGGTTACTTTATGGTTACAATGCATCCATGCCTCATCATGCGAACAACCCCGAACAACCCTTCTGCTATCATGTCTCTATCATGCAACTACATATATTCTCCATACTCCCTTCAAAAACCTTCTCCTCCTTCCTGCGACCACAGCATCATTCCCACAATCCCATCCCGAGCTCTACTCACTGCTCCCCCCTCCGCGCCGCGTCACTCTCTCACAACACCAGTACAAACTGCCCGCTCACGGGGACCGTCTGTGCGCGTCAGGACGAGCTGATCGAGGAGACGGCCACGCCGCCCATGTACCTGAAGACGGACCTGCTGTCGTTCGAGCTGCGCCAGCTGCGCAGTGAGTTCGATGTGATCCTGGTCGAGCCGCCGCTGGAGGAGTACCAGCGCACACTGGGCGTCACCAACGAACGCTTCTGGAACTGGGACGAGGTGCGGTCCGGTTCAGTGAAAGGCGGTGGGTGGGGAATACGAGGAACGAGGGGTTGAAGGGAGGAGGACAGGGCTGCCGATATATGCTAGTACTACTATCAAGATTCAACGCTCGTAGGAGATTTATGTAGGATAGACTATGTAGGGTAGATGAGCATTATAATACCTACAGGGTGGGGCAGCATAATCGGGAATGCTTTTTGGGCTCTAATCATGAGTAGGCATGACATTATTTTGATAAATTATAGCATGGCAATGAAACGCCCAAAAGTTGTGCATCATCTAACATGACTACATCCATGAGCATGCAACCTCCTGGAAAAGAGCAGCAAAATAGTTCGACGGTGCTCCAAGTGCTTTGCGCGCGCCCATAGACACTAATGTTAAACGAGTAAAACAAGAACATTTTGTTGAAACCCCTGCAATTCCACGTAAAGGTTGCTGGACAGGTCAACGTGTTATCACGGACAATAAGGATTGTGTGGGAATACTTAGGACAAAAGGTTAACGTAATCGTCGTAAAATAACTCTTAGCAGAGGACATACAGATGACTCACTTGAATATAAGGAAGACGCTCTTGAGCATATTAAAAAGAAACAATGCTCAAAACTTCAGCGACCAAAAATCTCACCACCGACTGGAATACGACAAAAAAGAATGGCAAGCCATATAGGGGATTGTATCGAGAATATTCCAGCGGTCATGCAAAGTAAACATCCTGTTGGGGTGATGGACCTATGGGTGGTCTTCAAGGGAGGTGCACGTGGTGCACCCTACTTCATCGAGCCCAGATAAAATGAGCACCTCTGGTAAATACATCCGCACTGTGGCAGACTCATGTGGAGCCGTCGGAACAGAGGATCACTGACGGTCCAGATCACGTCTTACGAGGACTCTGTCTGTGCTGGTACTGCAGTGAGGACGACATGTTATTGTGTAGGGCACCTCCACCTGAGATGAACCAAAAACTTCTGGTCCTTCAACTCCGCCGATTTAAATCCGACCAAATTCTTTACATGGAGCGTTTTTTGGTAGAAGGTTAATGAACAACTTATCATCAGTAAAGACGGTCTTCAGTGCAAGGTACGATGCTGATGGGCGATCATGGACAAGCAGGAGGTTGCACGTGCATGCGCGTGCTTTTGGACCCGCCTTGAGAAGGTCATCGACGCCGAGGGCGGTCACATAGGATGAGAGATAGGTAAAAGGTGACCAATTGATGGGATGTTGCTAAAATAGTGCTTGGAGCTGTATTTTTAAATTCATGACCAAATAATCCCGTTTGATATTTATTCCCGATTATGCTGCCCCACCCTGTATAGCACCTTTTAAGCGATGTCGATGTTTTGAATAGAATGTTACCATTGAATTTCTGTTTTGGGTCAAGGGACTATCCAGCTATCAGCTAGGGTGTATGAATTGATCGTCAACCCACCGGTGACATATGACCTCCCGTCTCCCCTCCGGTTAGATAATGCCTAATGGGTCTACAACTGCACCAGGTGACCTGTCTGCTGACATCTGATCTCTCCCCCATCTCTCTCCGGTCAGATAATGGGTCTGCAGCTGGACCAGGTGGCCGCGCACCGTTCGTTCGTGTTCCTCTGGTGCGGCTCGTCCGACGGTCTCGACAAGGGCAGACAGTGTCTCAGGAAGTGGGGATTCCGACGCTGCGAAGACATCTGCTGGATCAAGACCAACATCAAAAACCCCGGCCACAATAAAAACCTGGAGACTAAGGCCATCTTCCAGCGCACAAAGGTGAATGATTGAACTTTTTGTTTGGCTTGTACATACACATATTTGGTTACGTGAATTCGCTTGTTACACTCTACATCTCTTTTTGTCACGTAGTCTGGCATTGTCAGAGGTCAATACTGCTATGTATAAATTACGCGACTTGTACATATGGACATTCTGGGCATGAAGTTTGGGACAGGGTCTACAGAACCACTCTGAATTTTCGCCGCCGATTTGGACACCACACGGACCACATGACCAGACCGACACCTCGTCGATGCCCTGTGTCTCCACCCTCCCAACTACCCGTACACTTCCCACCTGACTCCCCCGCCCACCCCGTCCCCAGGAGCACTGTCTGATGGGCATCAAGGGCACCGTGCGCCGGTCGGTCGACGGAGACTTCATCCACGCCAACGTCGACATCGACCTGATCATCGCCGAGGACCCCGGCTACGGGTCGCTGGAGAAAGCCAAGGAGATCTTCCACATCATCGAGCACTTCTGCCTCGGCCGGCGCAGGTCAGTCCCGCCGGCACTGGCTGGGTTAGTGTGATCTTTTTCTGTGGCATGGCTTGGGCCACCCCAGTTCCGTCTTGGTGTGGCGTCTTGCGGCTGTCCTGCCACGATTCGTCACTCGGCTCATGTTTGTTCCGCATTGGCCGTGTCGTGGGTCAGGTCAGGCCTGCCTGGAGCGACCCGGCAGGTGCTCCTGGTCCGGCCGCTGTGGGGGTAAGGATGTGAACAGACCACTCCCGTTGCCCGTAGAATGTAGATGGCGCTGGGTGTCCATCGGTCCGCTGTCTGGGACATATTATCTCCCACCCCTCCTAGCTATGCAATGCATGGTGCAGGATTCAGGAAACAGGGAGGCAGTGACACGGGCGACTGACATCTTACGTGAGTGGGTCGCTGCAACCGCTACCTTCCGATGTTACGAAGACAATTTTTTTTACCGGATCCTCGATCCTCATTTCATTCACAGTCTAACTCATAAAGGCAAACACAGACGAACTCCTAGACTAGCTCATAGGCGTAGAGTGTTGGAAAGATAGGTACGTTCAATGTCTGTCCACAGTTAATACGCAGGCATTGATTTGTATATCGCTTTCCTGTCGAATCGCGGGATCTTCTTTTACCATGTAGGTGCCCAGCATGCTAGTGAAAGACGATCAACTGACAGATGGCCTGTGTGGTTGTATATTTGAACATCATAATAGAACATTCGTACATGTACTACTGGTGTATCACCAGAACCATTCTTCAAAACTCGTCATTTTTATTTTAGATTTTAACATTAGAAGGTCACACAAACCTTATGATATATAAACGCCTCACATACAGCAAGAACTACAAGTAAGTTTGGTCACTACCTATAAATAAATCCATTACAAGTACTTAACATGTCATATTGGTATAATATGAAATCTACTTTCCACACGATCACAGCTATTGATGATGAAAACTTAAACCTAAGCCCTCTCAGAGGTATGTGAGGCAGAGGTGCGACATTTACGACAAAGTGCTGCAATATCTCGGTTCTGTCTCGTGATGTAATTGGTTAAATTATGGCATCGCTCTGATTCTTCAACTTGAGATCTTATGGCGTCCGTATTCCGCTATCGAATCCGTTCTCAGTCATTATTTGGTTCTTGATTCGCTTCCAACCTCTCCAACCAAGCGCTGCTTGCGCTTTAACTGTTTCGTTCTTGCCGTCTAGGCGACCATCTTTTTGATCCAGCCCATGTAGTGGCTGACGTCCGTGTAGACGCCCGGCAGGCCGGGCCGGCCACAGCCGATGCCGGCCGACACGACGCCCACCAGCGTCGAGCGGCCCTCGAGCGGCAGCAGCAGCGGGCCGCCGCTGTCGCCCTGGCACCCGTCTCGGCCGCCCTCCTTGAAGCCGGCGCACAGCTGGCCGGCGTGCAGCCGGTTCTTGCGGCCGGCGGCGGCGAACCAGTCGGTGCACTCTAGCGGCCCCATCACCGGCACGGACACGGTGCGCAGCCGGTCGGCCCGCTGGCCGCCGTCGCGCACCTCGGCCGTCCAGCCCCAGCCGGCCACCGTGGCCGTCCGGTTGAGCACCGCCTCCGTCTGGTCGGAGGCCGGCAGGCAGGCCGGCTGCACGCGGCCGCCCCAGACGGCCGGCTGCGCCAGCCGCAGCACGGCCAGGTCGTGCCGGAACTTGCCCACCCGGTACTCGGGGTGCAGCGCGATCGCCTGCACCGGCAGCCGCTGCTCCTTGCCCTCGTGCTGCGTCAGGTCGTGCTCGCCGGCCACCACGCTGAAGCGGTCGGCCTTCATGTTCTTCAGACAGTGGGCGGCCGTGACGACGAACCACTGGCTGACCAGCGTGCCGCCGCACCACGGCTCGCCGTCCAGCTGCAGCGACACCAGCCACGGAAACTGGCCCGGCCGCGCGCCGCTGCCGCCCACGATCTTGGTGGCCGCCCGCTGCTTGCCGCACGGCACGTCGGCCACGTTGAGCGCCGCCGCCGCCGCCGCCAGCGCCGCCAGGGTCCACAGCAGCAGACGCAGCTGCATCGTGATGCCGCTCGAAGGAGGGAGCTCACTGACGGTCAGGTAGAGACTGTGGCAGCTGACTGACCGGGGAGAGACAGACCAGTTGTCCTGTCCTGTCCTGTCCTGTCCTGACCGTATATATCCCACACTGGAGCACACTGGGACCGGGAGAGGCAGCTGCTGCTGTGACTCCGCTGCACTGGACCGCTCACCGTGGTATAATGCTGATGACCCCTCGCCAGTCGCCTATATACGGGCTGCCTCGGGGCGGTGGGGTCACGTGACTGCCCCCGTACCCGGCCGACTGTATCACGTGCTGTGAGCCGGCGACTGAAGGTCGCCACAGCCACCTCCCCTCCGGCGATCAGCCGCCGTCGGCGTTACGGCAGTCCCGCGCGCGCCGCGCTCTTCCGCTTCCCGTGCCCGTTTCCTGGATTGGCGACGTGCGCCCCGGCGGGGTCTATGCACTCCCTGTGTCCCTGTGGGCCGCCCGTCCATCACCCGTATTATCTCCGAGACCCGGTGCGCCGGCACAGTGCGCACGAACGGGGATTCTGACAGTCATTCAGAGTGTTTGACGAAACGCAGTTTCATGTGCGCAGTTAGTTTTTGACTAGATAGTTAGCTCGGATATTGGAATTTATTCACCCTGCACCCCGTGATATTTTCCCATAAAATATTTTTAAGCCAATAGAAAGCTGGATTCTGTTTATTTTTGTACCAGTGTTTGTAATCGCAAGATTTCTGGAATTAACACTTGCCAGAGGCTAATTTTATCAACAGAAGGTAAAATATCCGGCTGGAACCATAGGCGGCGGAACGGGGAGGGCACCGGGGCACCGTGCCCCCCTTTGATTTTGGCATTTTAGCATTAGCCCTATGGGCGTTGCATGGAAAGAATGGGACCAAAAGTCGGCAGTGCCCCCCCCCCCCCTTAATTGAGGGTGTTCCGCCGCTACCGGCTGGAACTGTAATTGGGCTATAAGTTCACTTAAGTTTCAGATACTGCGCGAAAAATTACCGCCGATGTGAAAAAAATATCCGTAAGAAGTGCTGTTACCTATCTTTACACATTGGCAGTCCTTTTTTTCGCGTGGCCTGTGAAGTCTGTGTCGATTTAAAGAACTAGAAATATCCGCAGCCGGTGATTTACTTGTTTGGAAAACTGCCATTTTTCTCACAAAACCTTTATCAAAACGCTCGTTCTGGCAATATAGAGTCGAATAATTTACAGGTATAATCCGACTCGATGAACCAGGTCTTCCGACTTCATGTGGTCGTGGCACGATCATTGCCTCGACGGCATATAAATTGACCAACCATTCTGTGGCAAGTAGCGAGGGGGACCGCGGGAGCCGAGCTCTTAGGATCTGTCACCTGAGCGAAACAGTTTACTGATGTGATCTGAGCTCGAAAATTGAGCTCGCCTCGTTAATTTATATGCGTTAATTAAGATCGTTGTTATGTTAGATGATCTATTTAAGTTGAACAATCAATGATTTTATGCTTGACCTACGCCGAGTTTCAATGCACTGGTGCGGTGAACTCATATATTAGAAATTTACTTGCTTGTCAAACCGAAGTTTCATGAGCCTCTTGAGTAACGACTGGTATTTACAAAAGCAAGTAAATGTACGGGTTCCCTTTGTTTTCGCATTGGATCCAAGTCACCTTCATAAATCAATAGACCTATCTGACACGGGTCTCTTCAATACGGGTACTATCGATTACATCAGCTGTCCTTGACGCCAACTAAGACTGAACTTCTCGCGCAAAAAAGTCTGACGTCTGAGTACGCGGAACCGTTTATCGTCGTTGCGCTCATAGCTCGGCAATTACGTGCGCCGTTTCCTGTTCTGTCTGCCATCATCAGCTGGGCGTTCGCCGGCCATTGTTTCCAGTAATACACAACGCTTCACGCCAGATCTGGCGGCTCAGCCGGCACCACATCCGCATACCGGGCACAGCCGCCGCCGGCGTGCCCCGGAAGTCGGGAGCCGTGCGGGCGGCGGTCCGCACCCCGATCAGCTGGTACCGGCCGCCCGCGCCCCAGCCGCGCACCGTAGTAAACTGTTGTAGATATTCCGCGGCCGTGTGCCCGGCACCTGCTCAGCACCTGTGCTGCTCATTTCCGGATAGGCGCGGGGGAGGGAGGGTGCCGGCTTGTTACCTGGCCAGCCGGGTGAGTGGGCTACGAACGGGTTGAAGGGTACGCGGCTGGGGGGTCGGGGAGCGTAAAATGTCATCCCAGTGGGGTGAAGGTCGGGGCCAATGATATTCCATGAACTGGAGCGGAATCCAATCTGATAGGCTGACTCATACCGTTGCCATGCGGCGCTTCTGGTGTAGGTAAAATCGGGCTAAAGACAGCCATGACTGTGCTATAGCTCAGATCAGGTCAATGAAATCGCACCCCGGTGTCGCCGAACCTCTCATAGCCCGCTTAGGTCATGTGATTATTTGTTTTACCTGAAACATTCAAGAAAATCAGCTGTAGGGCGACGGTTATCGCCGAACAGTCGAGACGGCGATGGTACGCTCTTTATTTTCTGGCCATTGTGGGATGGGACGGGCGAGATGTTACACATTTTTTTGCAAGAGCTCACCATTGTTTACCTTCATTCAGACTTGGTTCGGAGTCTAGAACAGCACAGACTAAGACACTTACGTAGAACATCCTCGCCCCTACCCACCCACCCAACCCACCACCCAACCCACCACCCTGTTAGTCAGCGACGAAGGGCTGATTCACCGTCCACGATCGCGGCTTTAACAGCGCGGGCGAAGCGGGCGGGAGGCAGCCACGACAGCTGAGGTGGCAGACTATTGAGCAGAGCTGCAGCTCGATAGCCGAACCGCCGCCCGCCCGTTTCCAGCCGCGGTCGCGGAAGCTGAAAGAGGTGGTCTTGCCTAGATTGTCTCCCCAGGATGGCGCTGTTGGTGACGAACAGGGCTGCCAGGTCCTCTGGTTCGGATGTCCAGCAGCTGTAACGAGAGTG